ACTTAACACGTGATAATCGTAGATAAATTACTCATTTTCCATTGTATTTTGAACAAAAAGCACAAAAATATTGTTCGCAACGTAAATAGTTTGGAGACCTACAAGAATGCAATTTTTAATTATTTTTGTTTTTTTAGTAGAGCTCCTTGTGAAAGAGTTCGTCCGGGGAAGTACTACTTACCACCTTATCTATTTCTGCCGCCAAGCAATGAGCATTACCGCGTTTCGGTTTTGAAGGGTAAGGACGCTTGTGAAATTACGGGCACATGAGACATGTCAATTTATTTTTCAGGATTTGGCTTTAAAGCTTTGAATGGCACTGTAACTGTTATGGACAGGCGTGTCGCTTACCACCAAACGCACTTGTTCGTCCCGTCGCTTGGTGTCCTAAAAAAATGAAAATCGGTTCAACTGAAACAGATCTGAGGTAAACAAACATAAAGGTAAAAAATACTAACAGGATTGATCGTTTTAAAATCCTGTTGGACATTCTGTTTTAAAACTAGATTATCATCTATTCTATAAGGTCAAATATCTAACCCTGTTGTATGTAGGTATGTTGTACAAGTCCTATCTATGGACACGGGTCCTCTAAAAATATGAGGTATTTCAGCAATGTTCACCAATTAACCCTTTGTCTGGCATTTACGTTTCAAAGAATTTTGCTGTGTTTAGGTTTTCGTAAGGTATTTTTTATATCAATCTGAGTAGCGAGGTAGGTAAAAGTAACACCAAATTATCGTTTATTTCGGCGTAATGTTAGGTACCGTAAAATTGACGTGAATATGGGTGTTATAGTTATAGAAGAAATTAAATTTATATGTACCTACAATACCTTTAGCCCATAGATTATCTATACAGGGTGTAATCGTTAAGTGTGCTCAGGCGGTTATTCCATATGTAAGAGATCTATCAAAAAGCTTTCAAATGATATCGAAAGTACGTTACCTAATGAATAAATCGACATGAATAACTTTGTAAAAATAAAACTGTAAATATCCAAAATATGAACAGTAAACGCTCCCACACATTTAATATGCCTATTTCGTAGAGAGGCTTTAGTTTTCCTAATGTAAGAGGTATCAACAAGGTAACAGATGAGAAAAGTGATACAAATAAAGTAATAAAACGACCTTTTAATTGAATAAAAATATAATGGCATAGCCGATAATTTGGTCAAGTGGGAGTTGTCTATAAAAATGTTGTTAATAAAATTTTTTTAGTGCTGATCGACTCAATTTCATGTAAGGATCGATCGGTTTATTGTATGGGACGAAAAAAATTGGGACAGCAGAAGTTGGTCAAATTTAATCAAACTTTTTTTTATACAAAATGAATAAAATTGACTTTTTTTAATGCTAGTAGACTTAGTTTCTTGTAAGAACAATTTGTTTGTATTGCATGAAACGAATCGGAACAGCATACGTTGATCAAATTATAAAATATTATGTTAATAGCGTTTAATGTTAAAATGACGTACATATATTTCTAGTTTTATTTTTAAAAGTTTTTGATGTCGGTCTATTCATTAGGTAACGTACTTTAGATATCAGTTTAAAGCTTTTTGATATCTCTTATATTTATGGAATAATCGCCTGGGCACACTTAATGATTACACCCTGTATATATTTTAACTACGATCGCAGTGTTAGATATGTTATATTACGGTCGCAATCAGTCATGTACGTTGCCATTCCTGCGCTAAGGTAATCATAAATTCGTAAGATTCCACCATGAAACATCAGCACAGTTACCAAGTAATATATTTTTTTATATCGTGTTTTTATAAACAAATTGTTAATATTTTCTCCTATTAACTGCCAGGCAAGTGCTTGTTTATTATTACTAATACAATAAAGGTTACATACATAGGTTTGGTATATACCACTCTATACCAACACAACTGGATACTTCACTAGAGGGTTTGTGGCGTATGAACATCGATATACGAGCTAATCAACCAACTGATTCTTATTATACACCCTTTTAGCCATTTAGCATAATAACCATCGAAATATTGTGGTAATTTCGATAATTTTAAGAGCAATACATCGGTGGGTAATATAAACCCGAGCCCCAATGGTCATTTATTCTTAAATTAAAGTGAGAATTCGCATGCCTATGGCCTTATAGAACACGATTCGGCTATCAGAAGAAACAAAGTCACAAGAAAACTTCTTGGTTTTTCACATAAAAAGGATGCTTAAAAGATATTTACCTTTGTTGTTAAGTAGTTTATTTACGTTGAATACATAAGACATATTATACAGAAAGCTTAATCACGTGTGTGTGGATTGAGTGAGCACCCTCTGAAAAAGGTTCAGAATATGTTTGTCATTAAGTAGAAGTTCTAAAACAATTGTAGAAACCAATATTTCTATTTGTAAAAAGGTAAAACAGAAGAAAAATAACTTAATGTGTGCTCACCCAGTTCTCACAGAGGCCCAGTTAGATCTACAAAAGTATTAAGTTTGCGTATAATATTAATATAGGTACTAGTTTTTAGTAGTAGTTTTGTTAATTGTATTTTAATTAGCGATTTTTTTTAATCCTCTATTCTGTCTTTTAACTTAGTTGAATTCTTACTGCATATTATAAAGGCAAAACAAACTTTTTTCATGACACCAAGTCACGGGACGCACAAGTTGTGCCACTCACAGCTTTAAAGTCCAAAGATCTGAGGGGCACTGCCACCGCGCCCGTCACCACCCTGACATAAGTTGAAGAGTCCCACGTGCCAGTAATTTCACCAGTACTCATATCCTTCAAAACCGGAACGCAGTAATGCTGGTGATAGTATTTCTCTGGACGAACTCTTTCACAGGGAGCTCTACTGCTATTTAAATACTTTTAATTGTTAAAATATTATACTTAAAGTAGTGCTTGCAAATTGACACCCTAGATAAGAAATTTAAAATAAATAGAAAGTTTTTTTAGTTGTATTTTTTGTTCCGATGGCAGAATACTTACTTTTCTTTCAAAAATTTATTTCCATAATATATTCATATGTAATGATAAGTATGCAGTTACTTTTATATTTAAAATGTAACTTTACAACACACATCAAGTTTCTAGGGCTCAATCACGTATGAATTCTCATAGGCGTTTGATCCCTAGATATTTTTGAGCAGTGTCTAATATTTAGGTACTACTATTTTTTGCAGTGTCGGTATTGAAGAAAACGTTCCTGGCCGAAACAGAATTCACATTCACGGTGAACGTGTATGGCGGCATCAATAGGGACAAGGAACAAGATAATAGCCCAGCTAGCAATAATATACGCGTCCAGAAACAGAAACAACAATTTCTCATAGACCAAAAAGTCAACATCACAAGAGCTCGAGAAAACGACGTCGATCTGTAAGTACTCAACAAAGCCATGAAAACACCATAGGTTGTCGACCAACAGGAAGCATACGTTCGAAAGTGACAATACATCGACGGAGAATGAACCTCAGTCGTAGTGGCAAATCCAAAACACCTAAATCTCGCTACAAAGGAGCGTCAGTATGAGATGTTAAAGTACATAAGGCAGCTATCGATCATCGAAATAATTCGACCAAAACAAGACATAACTTGAATGTTCTGTATAACAAAACGTCAATTTGAAAATCTATGTATCTACGTGTGGTGAACGCCATGAATTGCATATAGAAGATAATGGTACATAATGGAGTAACGCATGTTACTCCATTATTGCCATGACCGAGTTTTTCAAATAAAGCCGCTATTTAGTCAGTTCTAGTCGCAAAATACTAGATTTAGTTGGTCCGCCTTTCAAAGAGGGTGATTTCTCAATCTCGAGATCCACAACACCTAGCTTAAATCTGGGTACACTAAAAAAAAGTCGTGATTTAGTAGGTTCTACACGTGAAAAACTAGATTTAGTCGTTACGCCGTTTTGAAGTTCACGCTGGAATAAGGCACGCAAGATAAGGAGGGTTTAAAATTAACCAAATTAATTTTATATAATAGTGATCATATATGATCAATATTCATAAATATAATTTTTATACATGAAAATGACATCCAAATATATAACAATTATGTACTCTTGTATCATTTAAAGTAACATTGCAGAAAAAATAGAATGTGGGTTACACCCTTTTGTGCTGATACACTCAAATTACAAATAACGTTTTATAAAACGGTTAGGTCAGCGTAGTCGATAACAGCAATAGATAGAGCAATAGAAATACAGTATTCTACATTCTTCTGTGAAATACCTATTACCATAATCCTAAATTGCATGTTTGTGAATTTTCTCCATTTTGCCAGTGTGTTTGTATTAAAAGAAATACAAAAAAATGTATTAACACTTTATTGATACATTAAACGAATATGTGTGTGCCGATACAATGATATAACTGCCATTGCTAGGTTAAGACTATACCAATGCGAAACATTTTAAACTATCTGGTACTAGCATGTAGGCAATTGTTTGTACAAATGAACCAGTACAAACAGACGGTAAAGTAACATTTGCACTAAATATTCTGTCTATAATAGAATTAGAATTTCCTTGAAATGTGCAGTCCTTTCAGAAGTGACAGTATAGATTTCTTTTTTAAATACGTGCCATTAATCACGCATAGATTCGTCACAGACAGAAAATGTAGTGCAAAAGATCTAGACGCATTTACATGCTCTATTAAATATTGACATTACCAAAAAAGTAAGCCTAATTGTAAGGCGTGTTTATTCTAAATGTAACCGTTCACCAACGACTTAATTCTCATACAATTGCTGAAGTCCCACCACGATCACCAATACGTACCAAGAACACTTCACACGAACAAATTGACGCACGTGTGCACAATATACGCTAGTAATACATTACGAGAGGAAGTAGTTATTGACTTACAATAATTTAAAAGTAATAAACTCAATAAATAAATGTAATAATAAAAAATAAATGTATAAAATGAAATAGTTGTAAAAAAAATAGCATTAACAATAAAGAAAACTTGGAAAACAGGAACTAATCAAATAAAAATCAAAAGTGAAATATAAAATTTATTAACAACGAAACATTTTATATTTACAAAGAAATAAATGTTCGATAAACGTGGACTGATTTATATTACCTTATATGAGAGTAGTCCTTATCCATTGAGGTGGATTTCACACTTCATGCGTGTTCGTCTCAGGGAAACGTGTTTACACTAAATAAGATATACCAATAAATACTAATATACAATACCTACACGTGTGGCTAGCTGGTAGCAACACTTGAATTAATATTTAAATAAATGTACTTAGTGGAACGTTTATGGTGAACTCAACAAATTGATTTAAAAAAAAAATCCCGACTTAACACCTAAAGTTATGCTTCTAAACCTTGAATACTAAGACTCTACAGTACACTATTCATCACGCAAAAATCGCCAAGCGGCTTTATAGTTGACCAATAAGAATATGATTAAGAATAAGTGTATAATATACCTTTGAGAAGTTGATACCATAGTGTAATGTAGAGCGTAACGCGCCTAACAGTTACAATGAAATAGGCATAATGAATATTCTACTAAATTACGATTTAAAAGGAAATTTTAACACCAATTGCCGTCATTCGCCTTCGATGGTAGCTTATCAATAAGCAGTTTAGTATTACGCTAGCCGATGGTGTACATATCGAACAGAAAGTTCAAGTTAATTAAAAATTGTGTTAACAAAACATTTAGAACTTACACTTATATCACAAAGACTTAAGTAATTAGTTCTAACAATCATTAGCAAATAAACAAACGCACGAAACTAATATGTAATAAAGACTTTAAATATATACTCAACGCAAGCAACAGTAAAAATAAATTTTTAGGTATATAATATGAAAAAAAACATAAAATACACAATAGGATACGCGGCGGCTGCGACGATGGGCGGCATACGTACGGGCGGCGTTCAGCGGAGGTCGGGATTGTCGTTGATTTGTTTCTTGATGCGCACAAGCATAGTGGTGTACCATTGATCCAGCCGAGATATGCTATCGTACATTTTCACAGTTTCGGTGAACGCGTCAATGTTCTGCTCCTCTAAGTGCTCGATAAGCTCCTGCCAATCAAATTAAACATTTACATGGCTTAATATGTGTGTAACATTTGCTATGCCCTGAAAACATAGAAGTTAGTAAAAATATAAGTTGAAAACACACAATAGCAGAGTTTCAGCAAGTTGAGCAACCTGTGAAATACAACTTAAGTGTAAATTGTTGTTTCACAATGTAATTGGATACAGAAACACAATTGTTTTACAAACCTTGATAAGCTTGTGCTCCCGAGTGTCCTCAAAAGCTGGATACATGCCGCAGTACTTCTCTAAGGCAAGCTGAGCGTTCAGGATGTCAACGCACAAGTGGCATAAGAGAGCTCTGAACATGTATTCTTTGGCGCTATACTTGAGGAGACTGTTGTCTAGTGAAGATTTGGCGATCTATAAATGGAAGGGTTTGATTTAAAGAACGTTTGAATATTACATATAGAAGTATAAGTAAGAAAGATTGTATTAGTTGCATTATGTTATGTATATAATATGTAGAAGTAGTAAACACGAACCTGCTCATAAATCTGAATTGCCTTGTCATAGTGCTCCAACTGCGCGGCGTACTGTGCCAGTTTGAGCATGCATTTATTAGCTGAGGAGGTAGATTCTTCACCGCGGAAATAATCCGCCGCTTGTTCGTAGTGCTGCATAGCACGAGCCAAATCCACACACTCAGTCTCGTAGAGCTCAGCTATGTTCTATTGAAATAGATTAAAAGCCTTAATCGTGATTCAAGGCTCCAGACGAAACTTAAATTTTCTAATCCAAAGTTATTAAAAAAATCAAGTGTTACATTTGAACACAAAGATGTGATGCCATTAATTATATACAGCTTTGCATAGCCTTTCATTGACAACAAGAACATCAATATCTAATCCAATTGTATTACAAAACAACATTATTATGGTGCATATGTTACAAAACAACGCCATCCCGAAAATGTTAATCTATTACCTGATGATGTTTCGCAGCCAGGGTGAATCGGCCCATGTCAGTGTAAACCTCAATCGCCTTCATGAGACAATTGACAGCCTCTGCAAAATATTAATACACCTTATATGTAAATATCTATTTCATATTATAATAATTAATAATACAAGAGAGAAAACGTAAGAACCAAGTGTGGTTGATCAAAAACTTAGCATATTATTTGCACAGTAGTACACTCAATGGCAAGATAGGAACATAAAAATCTAAGAGATCTTTATCGTGTAACTTTTCTGACAGATTTTCTAAAGTTTTATCAATAGCCAAAAATAATGACAGTCAATGACTATTGTTTTAGTTTTATTGCTGGTGAAAGTATTTTGTGAAGTTTTTACTTGCTGTTTTGTATTTAATTTTCGATTGATATTTCACTATTTCTTCTTTGATAAAATAACATTTTATTTTATATTTAAGTCAAAAATGTATTCATGCCCGACTTAACCCATCTGAGATGGTCACGACAATTAAAATGCAAAAAAATAATGAAACCTATAGAGTGATCTTGTTTGGTGGCCTTTGGCAACAGCCATTATAGTGTACAATGATTCACAGAGACAGATTCTTTTGTAAGAAGAACAAGGTAGGAAAACGTGTCGTGCGAGAAGAGAGTATTTACATATCATAGTATCCCATAATATGTTGTGATCTCACTGTACATATAACTTCAATACGAGAAAAAGTAAAATTACCATACACCCTTTGGCGTGCCTATGGTGTCTTACATCTTGGCTATAAAAGAATGAAAATAAAAAATGTAACTGGAAGAAATCCAAAACAGACGGGAGTATTCAACATATGTAAAAATGAAAATACAATTCAAGATTAATAAAATTGTAACACTATTTGGAAATAACTATTTGGTACACTGACCATTCGCATCACATTTCTTGTAGCAGTTCGAAGCATCAACAAAGTTCGTAGCGGCATCGTGGCGAACACCGGCTTTCAGATGGAGTTGAGCTGCGCTGCAAAAAGCCTGCCCTGCTTGAGGCCACTTCTTAGCCATCTTGAAAAGGTTGGCAGCACGAAGATAGCACTCTACTGCATCTTCTACTTTCGATGATCCTCTGTTTGAACAACAATAATAATAATATTAAGTACATTGTGTTTAAAAGCAATAAATTTTCTCACTAACATAATATCCATAATAAGAAAGATTAATAAATATGGCTGTATGTATTAGTAGCCCATGCCATACAGTAGAGTCTTAAAAAAAAAGGTTGTCTATGATACTAAGCTTTTATTTTAAAGTAATTCATAATAAATTGTGAATTAAGTGTGAATTCTATGTATTTTTTGGAAAATGTTAAGTGTTATTGCATTATATTAAATTTAATCATAGAGCTCTTCTTAACATTATTATTCTGATTATTATGATATTATTTTGACTGCCTCCGTAGCCGAACGGTTACCATGCCGGACTGCCACGCAGAGGTCCCAGGTTCGATTTCCTGGCTGGGAGAAATAATTGTATGGTCTACATTTATTTCTCTCATGAGTTTGGGTGTAATTTGTGTGTCCATGGCACCCGCGACACAGGGTTTACCTAGTGCGGGGCTATGTTGAGTGTGTACGTTATTATTATTATTATTCGAAAAATACTCAAGTAGTAAATTTGATTAAGCAGAAGTTTGCATTTTTCAGTGTAAATATATATTAGGTCTTAAAGTAAGGGTTCTTTTTGAAAGCACGCAACATTGAGTACTTAACCAGAAATAGAGACGAAATGTCATTTATTTTGTTTGAAAACTATTCTGCTAAATGACTACCATAACAATTGCGCTTCGATTGGCCAGTCCGAATTCGAAATATCACAAAGAGTTGGCTAAGCAAATATTATATTAACGAAATCGATAGTCAAGAGATAAAGGAGCATAATGTTTTCATCGTGAATATATGTAAGGAAATATCGTTTATTGATTCCTCTGTAACTTCTGAATGTTTTAACCAATTCCGAATTGTGTAGTATTGCTAGATACCATAGACATTTCGAGTGAGCATGGCATTGAGTATCAAAAAATGTCAAATCACACAATTTTGTACTGACAGCAAACAAAAACAATATTTAAAGGACATTTAAAAGATTAAAAAATATTTCATATGTTCAAACTAGATGCCTAAAATACAGGTACTTATTTTATTAGTAAATGCATCGCAACTACACTTTAAGATTTAATTGCATAGCTTTATGAATATTGCATAATGTTTAAGGTTCATTTTTTACTGTTTAACTACTTTTACATATGTTTCACTTGTATATTTTGATTCAGTTATGAAATAAATTTGTCTCTCTCTTTAATATTGTAAAAATCTTAATTGGAAAATTAAATGAAAAAAAAAAACAGACACAATTTCTTAAAATGTTAAAATTATGTTACGTTTATCATAGTTTCAAATTATTATTGATTTTTATATTTGTACTTGTAGACGTAACTACAAAACTGTCAATTTTTATTTACTTAATGATCCCCAGATGCAAATAAAACTCATCAACTATTTGAAACTTAGATTTAATTAAGAAATTGCATCAGAAATTTATTAATTTTTAGTTTTTTTTATTGCTTTTCAAATATAACAGAAAGCCCTTCCAATTACAATAATGCACAATTAAAAAAACGCTTATGCAGAAAACATTTACATAAAAAGCTGAATACTTTGAAATCTATACCTAAAAAGTTAGAAAATAACGTTTAATAAATTCAGAGAATGTGGATTTGTGAAAAAAATAATAAATTGGAGTAACTAACAATACTCATGACTCAACAATACCAAGATGTCAGATGTAGTTTTTTTACTTCACCAATTGTTTAAATAAATCATTATAATGTTATACAGTAGTACTTACTTGCAAATATTGATACCTAATTAGAGTTTTTAAGTGCAACACTAGCAACAAGTGCATAATGAATAGAATGAGATGACATAATGGGAGTTGCTTTAGGTGGAAGCAAGAAGCATAAATGATTTGAAACAATTGATGGGTCACATCACATCAATTGTTTCACTTTAAATTGACCAGTTTAATTTGAGCTATCCTACGATGGACGAAAAATTACATATTTAATATTTAATTACCGATGAAATGTGACTCTGGTTATTCTATGATTACATGTTTTGCTGTTCTTCCCACTTCACTAAATAGAACAGCCCCCATTTTTAGAGATATTATCTTTATTACAATAAATACAGAATATTTTTGGAATTTATGGAGACACACACAGGGCAGTTGTTGGTGCTGTACTATCTTTCAGCGCAAATGAGAGTTGACATTTATAAGTAATATTGTTCCATTTGACCGATGAGTTACCAGGATTGTATGGCCCTTATTTCATCTCTATTTCTGGTTATATACTTGATGGCATGAAATGACAGTCAGTAACGGCCACCCACAACTTTCTTATACATGTGAACCAATGACATTTGAGGGATAATCCTTATTTTTATTATAAGCACAAGAATTCCAGAAAAAAAGGGTTAACAAAATAAGAGATGGGGCTAGCTACAATTTCTACTAGCAAAAATAATTGTTTTGGAACTTGGGACTTTGCTTATAGTACACTTATAACAACACTGCTTTTTCCATTAGTAATATTTTGTTACAAAGCACGAAGAATCAAAGAGCCAATTATTCATTTTAAAATTTACTTAATATGTTGTGTATGATATATATGTGAATAGTTATCACATCAGAAATTATCAAAAATATTGGGCATTATTAGCACTTAGTGCATAGTAATGTTAACCCACAACAAGAAGATGTACAAAAGCATTTTTCCAAACTATGCACAAAGAACATTTATCCAATAAGAGCGCAGAAATGAAACAATTTAGTGCAGATAACCATAATCCCAATATTTATCCTTCCAGAAAATATGATGTCATAATAAACATTATGATCAACCCATTTTATTTTCTGATAGATTAACTATGTTACCACATTTTCATGTTTTGAATGTAGTATGGTAAAACATTTAGCAGCCAAAATACATAATAAAAAGTTGCAATGGCAATGACAGCTATGAGCCTCATTTACTGGGAAACCACTGCAATATTTTAAAGTTCCGTTTGTCTAGGGATTCATTCAAAGATTCATGAAAATGAGTAATTTAACATGAGTTTGCACTCTGTTGGAATTTATTTTAAGGCTCCACAAAAAACAGGAATTTTCCACCATGCGTTCGCACTCTACATAAATAATACTAGAATGTTGTTTAGAACATACATCATTATTGACAGAGTAATAATTCGCAATTAGCAAAGGATGAGAAATAGGCGTGGACCCTTGTGAAGAGTGTCGCTTATACATTGTTCTTGTTCAAATGATGTTATACCAAACAAAAGATAAATAATTACATTAAACTGGTTGTGTACGTCATAAACTACAAATATTAACGATCAAGTAATTAGGCAATTATCAACAAAATAATTGAACAAGTCATTGTCCTTACCCAAACAGTGATCCGAGGAAGGATTTCGACGAATTTAACTTCTTTTCCGCCTCCGCCACTAGCTGCATAGCTTTTTGTTCGTTGTCTGCCATTTTCGTGATACTATACACTAAATATTATTGAAATGTTCTAGTTTTCCAAAGAAATTATGACAAAATGTCGTCACCAAAGAACGGCAAAAAGCGGACCGTCGCTGTCATCGAATCGATTGAATCAGAGTTGCAATAGTAAAAAATAAAATTTGGTTATGGCTCCATCAATACATACGAATGTTAATGTTTTTTCAACCAAACTGTTTAGTGCGAGGGTCGCATAGGAGAACGAAATGATGCTAGCATTTCTTAAACAACTTCACAAGTGTGTATTGTATTATTTCCTAAAAACCATAGCACAAACTGACGTATCAAGATCATTGGACCCAGTAGGTACTTTTAGGTCCCAAAAGATCAATGTTAAGAACCATCTAGATTTGGAGTAGATTCATAAAACATGTAGAATTTGTCGATTTTATCAATGGTAATCATAGAGGATGGAAAAATGCTAATAAACAGAAATAGGGCTTTCACGGACGGAACTTTAGCCAAAAAAAAAACGCGTGCCTGCCTTATCCATATCCATATCCAACTTAACCATGGTAGAGTTTTTGAATGTTGACTAGCCAGATAAAAAGTCGCTATTTAGTCGGTTCTAGTAGCAATAAACCAGATTTAGTCGTCCGCCGTTCAAAAGTTTCAAGAGTTTGTTCTGTCCACGCTGTGCTGGAATAAGCTTATTCCAATGGCACTATCTGTCAATCTCCAGAACCACAGCACCTAGCTTAGATCTGATTATAATAAAAATATCGTGATTTAGTCGGTTCTAGTCGTAAATACTAGATTTAGTCGGTTCGCCGTTTTGAAGTTATTAAGGTGTTTTACTGTCCACGCTGCGCTGGAATAAGCTCATTCCAAAGGCACTATTTGTCAATCTCCAGAACCACAGCACCTAGCTTAGATCTGATTATAATAAAAAAATCGTAATTTAGTCGGTTATAGTCGTGAATACTACATTTAATCGTTATGCCGTTTTGAAGTTATTAAGGTGTTTTAATGTCCACGCTGGAATAAGCTTATTCTGGCGGCACCATTTTTGAATCTCAAGAACCATAGCTCCTAGCTTAGATAGATCTAATTGCTCTCAGAAAAAGCCGTGAATTAGTCAGTTCTAGTCGCAAAATTTTAGAATTAGTTGCTCCTTTGTTTAGAAGATATTGGATATTCAATTATTTTCATCGACAGGTACATTTACGTAGAAAAATCGTACACATAGTGAAAAATGTATATCTAAGGAAAGTCACCGCTCCAAATGATCGTTGTGAAATCACTCAAGATATCGTGTTCGTGACAATTAAAATAATTTGAATTGATAGAGTATAACAAATAAATGTTTTAAATATGTACATAATTTTTTCAAGTCAATTAGACGTAACACCAATTTGTAGTTGAAAATGACTTGCGCTATAAATTATCATTTATTCAATTAAGTCATTCATTCATTATTTAATTATTGTGATCAATAGTCGTACGCTACTGTACTCCACACGGTTCGTTCGTCTCGTGTAAACGAAGGAGGGGGAACCCAACACGACACACACACTAATAAATATCATGACAATCGATAAATCCCAATGCCATTAAGGAAAACTAACTGTTTTTTTTGCTAATTTCCTTGTATTAAAAACTAAACATTGTCAAAACCTTGAAATAGCACGTATTTAAAAAAATATTCTGCATATTGCGCAAAATTTCTACATGAGCTCCTAGACTAACACAGGTATAACCTTGAAATAATATATCGGTTATATCTTCTAAACAAAGGGGCAACTAATTCTAAAATTTCGCGACTAGAACCGACCAATAAGCGACTTTTTCTGAGTGCAATCAGATCTAAACTAGGTGCTGTGGTTCTAGACATTAAAAAATTGTGCCGCAGGAATAAGCTTATTCCAGCGTGGACAGTAAAACACCCATAAAACTTTTGAACAGCGGACCGATTAAATTTAGTTTTCTTGCGACTAGAACCGACTAAATAGAGACTAGTCATATTTCAAAAACTCGATCATGGTCACGCTGTAAATCATGATCAATAAGCCACGCAAAAAACATACAAAATTTCGAATTCGTCGGTTACAGGTACAGATAGGCTTATTTTACATTGCGGCGGAACGGAATGGAACGAAAGCGTCAATTTCGCCTCGCCGCGCCGTGCGAGAAGACGGGCGCAGTCGCTGGAATGCTTGAGCATTCGCGAGCTTTCTCGCGACTGCGCCTTGAGGCTGTAGTATTTCGTCGACGTTTACGTGACACTGCGCCTGCCTTCGCGCCACCTCCCGCACATTCGCCAGGCGCCGCCGACGGCAGCCGCGGAATTCTCACAACAGCGCGAGAATTCCGCGGTAGACGCGAGACGTGGTTTTTGCCTCGTATCTACTTTACACAATTGACCATAAAGTTCTTTACGCTATGTACAATATTGTTACAAAAATTCGCTTCAATTCCGTTCCGCCGCAATGCAAATTGAACCATACACTATCATACGAAAGTGCAGCTCCTCGCTACGCCATCGCATGCGTCTCAGTAAGAACGGCACCCTGGGCACATTGGCCGATAGATGGAAGTCCCCAATGCTGCTGCGGTGGATGCGCTTACACACTGCTGCCAATGCGTAGCCACTTGCCCTATCATTGGCTGGGTACGTTGTGCTTCTATAAGTGTTTTAAGTGTTTATTTAGTCCGAAGTATATTTCGTATCTTCCTTATTGGGTGCAGATATGGTTGTAAATAAATAAAAAATTAACATATTTATTTTATTACTCATTTATTGTAAGTTAGATATTTTAATCAACACTATTTGCGCTTTAACAAGGTACATTTAGAAAGCAGAGTGTTCGATTACATACACGATATAAGTTAGTTATGAAGAAAATTCTCGACTCCTAACAAAAATATATTTAAATATTTCTTCTTAAAATTTGTTACACATTTCTTTTATTCAGGTTACGTTCTGTTAAACGAAGTAAGTATTGTTTCCAAATTACAGGTACAATTTACAATACGACGACACAAATATATGTATAAGTATTAAAATATATCGTTTGTTACACATGGTGTTATATATTGAAGTTTACTTATAAGAAATGTGGGCTTAGAGATGATAAACATTTGCGCAGTGAGAGGCACATTATCACAATATAAGACTAATAGGGTAAAACCAATTTCAGAGCCGCACTAAAACGTTGCGCATATATGTGTGCGAATGTTCGTAACCAAACGGTGTTTGTACTCTGACAAGCAGCTTGATTTTGATTGCCTCTCCCATTGACTTACAATTATATGGACGTCGGGTCCGCGCTAAAAAGTGTCCGAACTTATAGGGCGTTAAAATCGTATACAAAGCGTCATTCGCGCTCTAGTTTTCTTTTGTTCGACTGACAGCGAAGCAAGCAAAATTAGACAATACTGCGATGACATTACAATTTAAATTCAACATTTTACATTTTTCATATTCCTTGAAATGTCACTACGTTTAAATAGGTTGACTTGGGACATTTTTTTCGTGGTTTTTGCATTAGACCCGTCGTCCATTTATTTGTAAGTCAATGGCCTCTCCCGATAGAAAACTGCGTCTTTTCCGAATCGAGGCGCATAATTGCGATTCACAACTGACCGATCGGAAACTTTTGACATTTGTAATCGGAACAATAGCTGATTTAACTCACAAATTAGAAAGATATAGTAGGAATCAGGTTCATCTTCTCGCTCAGAATCCCATCTGATTTCGAGACTACCCGAACGGATCGCTTCTGATTTGAATCAAAATCAACTCGAAGGAATACTATCGGTGCGTCTCTTAATCATAATTCTGAAATAACTTTATTTCTGGTTAATAAAACGTTACCTGAACTAATTAAGTATTTCAGCTAGAATTCAACAGCTATACAATAATCTCTGATAAACATCTATTGACTACTTTAATATTGTGATTACTGTAACATTATTGGCTATGTAAATATATATAGTAAATATATATCCTAATTTTTATATCTTAGCTCCGGCAGTTTGCGAGTTAAGACGATACATAGTTTTATTTAATCTCGACGGTATTTCTCTTATTGTGTTGTCATTCATAAGTTAATTTGTACATAATTTTAATTTCTACGGTAATAATCACTCACCTAGCCTCATTTTTGTACACAAAGGGCAAAAAACAAACACTACTTTAATAGAACTTTGTACATATATAATTTAAGAAAAATATATTTTCAAAAGCAATTTGCATTAAATTTTAGTTCATATATTTTTATATTACAAAATATAAATAGCTATAACATAAAACTACAATAATCCCTAAATCGTAACTGCTTTAAATAAAATGAATTCATCAATGAAAATTAATAATAAAAGTTGGGTGCTTTTTATATTTTCATACAACATACATAATTTGTGTATTATCCAAATTGATAAAATCGCATCTAAAATCAGAAATTCCAAAATTTTTGAACATTTTTATGGCAGACTAGAGAATAAGATTTAGAATGACTGAAAAGAATGTAGTACATTAGTACTACAGCAAAACTACACCAGGTATATACTTTACAAGAAGTACATACTTATTAAATTCTAAATATTATTTTCACAGGACAGTCCTTTTTAACCGACTTCAAAGAAGGGGGAGGTTCTCAATTCGATTGTTTTTGGTGTAGGTATGTTACTGATTACTCCAACATTTGATTCTTTTTTCGTTAAAAGGGTAGTAGTGGTCCCATTAAAATTAAGACATTCCACCTTTATTAAAATAACGACCGTAACGATATTCACATGACAGTGTTAGGCAACAACAGTTAGTTGATTATACGTATTTTTTATTTTTTACAATACCACAATTACAATTAGCTTTTCCAAAGAAAAACTTCAACAAATATACCAATACGATATGTTACGCTATAATAGAGAAGTTAATCAATAGAATAAGCTAGCAGATTTGTGTGTTTTTCGCCTAATGTGTACAGTACCTATGCAGGGCCCTAACCGTAGAATGCTCACGCCGATTCAAAAACCATCGACATGGTTTTGTGAATGCAATACTTTTCCCTTAAGTCAGATTTTCATTGTATAGTATCAATTTCACTATTTACAAGAGACTGCATACGTACCAATACGATTCGCAATACCACGTCGACATAATTTTGCGGTTAGGGCCTCATGTTACACAATTTTGCAACTACGTCTTATAGCAATATTAATCTACACGCATAGTGTGGCCTCTGGGGGGAAGCGTGGCCGTAACTTATATTCTACTTAACGAACTTAGTTGAATAGTCAAGCGCATAAGTATCTAATCTCAAAAATAAGTAAACTAATGGAACCCATAAAATAAAGGACAAAACATGCAAAAAAAAAGAAACAAACTTAATCATAATTTGATTTATTCTTTCCATAAATAATTAATTGAATAGTTTTCTAAAAGCGACAAGGCTAGAAATAATAATAATTAAAGTGGCTAATATTTACATAAAAAAAATTAATACATTAATTAATTACGTGAATATAACTTCAGAACAAAATGTACAACTTAAAAATTTCAAAGGCTACTTGAGTAGATAAAAATCAATTCAAAAAGGTTTATCTTAAAAAAAAGAACTTAAAATTATATCAATCCCACTATTTCAGATTAATTCAGTCGAATAATTGGATCGAACAAAATCCATAGCAAAAGTAGAGTTTGAAAATGTAACTGAAAGTGAGGGATAAATGGCAAGTCGAATGTCATCATATTATTTTATCATGATTACTGTGCAAAATAAAAATGTAAGCAGTATAAAATTAATCTAATAGTTCAGTTGTTTCGCAATTAATATTAAATATTGCACAAAATAGGCGAGCAATCAACAACTCTGTAAAGATAAGTGAAATCGTTCAACAGATCCTATATTTTTAAAATGATATTACATACCATTAATTTGAACTTGTCAAATTATGACATACTTTACAATAAATATAATATAGCACTATAAATCTACTGCTATAAATAGACACCTTGACACTGATACTAAGCATTCTGTATTATTGTTGGTGTTCTTAGCAGGAATGTGTTCGTATCTTCGCATAACGCTATCACCGGTGAACATACAGCGAATCAACGGAAATAAATTACTAACACCACTGTACGAATACTAAAATACCTAAATGACATTATTTCACCACAAATATAATTATTGCTTTTTACTATACATTCTTTTAACAATAATTACTTTATAAAACAATATAATTTCTTAATTGATACACCGTTGCTATTATTTCTATTTAAATATAGTTCCTGCGACTTTGCGTGACATTTTCAAACAAATTGTAATGATATTTAATTGAAAATCGACACTTCTTTGTATAATGTTTTGTAAAATATTTACTAAGTTATTCATAAGTACCTTGTTTTAGTACTATTGTGGAAGGAGAAATAAACGATTCTTATTTTTTAAATTTTTTAATTGGTTTTACGGCCTTGGAATAAAGCCATCAAGCGAAATTTTGAATAATTTCTTCCTTATTTAAGAAAATATACAACACAGTGATTTTTCCATTGATTTTTTATAAACTATATTTTTTATAATATAATTTATCACTTGTGTTTTCTCACAGTAAGCGTTCAAGTATAATGAAATGTCGACGTGTACCAATGTCTTCTGACTTCTGGGCAAACTATATTGAAAGCACAGGGCGTTTCGAGGTTCGGTTGATTTGATATGAAACAGCACCGCGTGCGGTACGCATACCTTGAAATCAGCTTAGTATATTAAGGGGGTGATCAAACGTACGTACTATTTTACACTATACTATTGCAAAGTTCTACAAGACCAGTTGTATTAAGTTAGTATATAGTAACCATTATAATAATAAAGGTGTACACATAAATATAGTTCTACACAAGTTATCAGGTGATTGATAAGATTATTATTTATTTATGTAACACATCGATTACAATTAATTATAACACAGAAATATAAATAGTATTGCCATGAATATATCTTATTACTTTTCAAAAAATAGTCTTGCTTTCAGATATATTTCAAAGACAAAGAGGCTAAGATGGCAGTTCTTTGCTTTTCGTAAAAACGATGACCAGGCTACTCATAATACTTTCAAATTGGTTCTAGTCTTTGCAAATGTAATAAGAACTAAAAGATTCGACCTGCTCGTACAGAATACAAGAATGCATTTACAGAAAATGTTGAGGTTTTCTTCTTAAAACCAACATCCCTCTATTCATAAATCCAAACTAGGTTACTACATGCTTTTATACAAATAGATAATCAAGCTTTTTATACATAAAGAAATCTTATTGCAATATACTTAGGTACTGACTGAAGCGTTTATTTTTATTGCTAGTCACTTAAAACACAGCAAGGAGTGGTACAGTAACTTATACGCAACACCAATATACACTCGTAATCTGCTCGTAACTCCTAATTTCATAATTCGTATAACAATCTAATGCAACTCCTATGCATACATAATATTTGTCTAATATATTATTCGCACTTTAGTCGTAGATATGGAAACGTCTTTGCTAAGTATATATTTCAGAAAAGGGACTTTTGATTACTCTAATTCAAAAGCACATTTTCTTTCCAGAACACCAATTATTTGTAATAAATATGACTGGCTTTATGCTATCATAAACGCTGTTTTTACAAATATAATATGTATTTCTGATCATCACGAAAAGCAACGCGTGGATTGCAAACTATGATAAACTACCTACTACATACAAGTATTAATTAAAATTATAATGACTGCTTGCTGCGGCGATGGAAACTCTACCGACACAAAGTATATAAGAATAAGAATTTATATTATAATTTTTAATATCGGGCTAAACAATATAAAACTAAGACTTGATTTCAATTCCAATACACAAATGCTGATTAAATAAATAAACAGACAATGTGATAGGACACGAAACAAACTTGTAGCTTTTAAAAATAAATTACAGTTTTGTACAATATTATGGAATGTGATGTCTGCTGAATTTTGAGTATAAATTACATTTAAAAAATTATCTATTCAACGCACCATTTCAAAAGAACTATGTTAATTAAAGGAATAATTCATTTCCAGATTTACATAACTAAAACTAAAATTGTATAATTTTCTAAATTTTATATTTCCATTGTTTTTTTATGTATATAAATACCGATGACGGTAACAGAAAAATGCTAAGTAAAGTCATAAGTAGTAAATTTAAGCCGTTTATCATAATAATATATAATAATAGGTAATTATACTCATTTTGTCAACTTTCCCAACACTGAATTATTATCGTTAATCGAAATAAACTGATCAACTTTGATATTCTCATTTCTTGCCCGAATGCTGTTGAGGTTTATGTTTTGTATTATACTATTATTATATTTATTTGTAAGGAATTTTTAAATACAGCTATGTGATGACACGACATGACAAAAAGTCGATTGTCCTTGATAATTTAGAGTTCGTTCGTGCATTTTTCTTCACTTATGAATAGTAAAAAACAAATCGACCTACATACATAGTAAGTTATGAGTGTTACATGATTCATACACTATTGATAAAACGACGTGAGTTATGGCATTACAACAGGAAATAAGTTGTTTTATTTGCGCAAAGAAGATTTAAATAACTTCAATTCGTGTTTCAATCAAGCTTTGAATAATGATTATGAATTAAAGTAACTATTTAGCACTCGGTCAAGTATTGTAAACCAACGAAACTAAGGTAGAGTCGGTATGACTTAACTGAATTGGTTAGTAGTTGGTTGCGGTGGTAGAGCCGGTCTCATCGGTGGGGCCATACCCATCTGCATCATTGGGGCGCCTGGCATGCTCATTACCATGCCCGGTTGTTGCTAGAATAACAAAAAACATATTTATCAAATTCATATTCAATTATCAACAAAGGTAACAACGTAGATGGAAGGCAAATAACTTGATACAGGGGGCCTACTATGAGCTTACAAGCAGCCAGTCAAGTTCCATGCAATTCACTTGACGTACACAAAGTTAACCTACACAAAATTGAACAGGAATGGCAAGACAGGATGATGAGTTTTACTTTTTAAACGTTAATTATTGTCCCTGTCTGGCTAGCTGACATCAACAAGAGCGAGATGGTCCTACGTACTAAATCATATGAAATAAATAAACAAATGTACTATCCTTGGTGCGTTCTAGCTCTATTAACCGATTGTGTTCAAAATGAGAATAACCATATTTTTTTATTAATTTTATTATTGATTATACTTACTACGTTGTTTTGTAATATCGGCAACTTTTCAATCATACTTTACAATTTGTCGTACGACTAAATTACATGTCATGCCTAGTCATTATCATTGAAATTAATAAGGTGAGTTTGTAATTTGATAACATAATTGGAACGTATCTTGTATTCGTACATTTTCATTGATTGCATTAAAGTCAAATTGGCATTGTTTAAAAGTTATTTTACGGCTTTCGGTAAATAAAATTATTGAAATTCTATTTAAAAATTGCAACAACATTCATGACAATAATTTATCAACAATGCTTTAAAGATTGGGAACTCGAACTAAAATTTTCAAAAAACGCTCAATAGTTAATAGTATTTATTTATTGACAATTGGCTATATAGCTTGTAAAGTCATCAAATAATTATGAAACTGAAAATATAATAAAACTTAAACGAAATTTCTTAACAATGTAACAAAATCTAAAAAAGGATAGTCACGGAGTAACTTTTTTTGAATTGTTTATTTTTACTGATGAGACCGCCATTTGCACGGCGAATGGCACGTCATGATACAATTTTGCTATGAAAGAAAAGTGTACGGATTTCGAATGGGGAACGTAAACTGCATGGACAGTGAATTGTTTTTGGAGGTCATAGTACGTATTTGACAGGCATCCAACTTACAGGCTTGACAGGCAATCCAACTTACAGGCTTAAACGGGATTGCCCTAAGAGCTCATAGAAGGCCCCCAGTTATCAATAGCTATATTCGGCTCTGGCTGAAAATATATGCAATACAAAATATTATTTGCAAATCGGTGTTTAGAAGTAGACAGTAAATTATTCGTGTCTAAACTACACTGTTGCAGTACATTGAACCACTCCTGTAGGACGTGGTATAGTTACACACCTACTTTTATAAAACAACGTGAACGATGCACTTGAAATTTAGAACAGCAGCAGCGCACGCGCACGTGAGTTTAAGCCAATTTCATCGCACGTAATAATGCAGCGGTTACAGCGCATGTGCTACCAGATTTTCAACTGAGCCTTCCTTTAAACTCACATTGTATGGGGCCAGAGCCTATAAACTATGTGGAAGCTGTCCAACACTAACATAGTATAGCAACTTAATTAATAATATGTAACTGTATCGACGACATAAACCACATAATTTAATACATAACTAAAATATAAAATGAAACTTATTCGTCTTAGTCAAGGCTATCTCAAAATGTAGGGAACAATTTATGAAATCCACAATCTCCATTATAACAGGCACCATTTCAGACGCCTATTCCAAAGGAACAAAGTTACGCTATTGTAAAACAGCGGTCGGCTGCTACTAAATTTAGTGCATCTGTGACGTGTTTAATTTGGTAAAGGAATCTTTAATAGAGAACTTAACTGTTATATTAAGTTATTAAATGCATTAAGTATATTTTTTAGATTGATTTATTAGTCATGCATAATTATATTAGAACATGCATTATCATTCATCACAAAATATATCCAAAACAAGAGCTAGTAAATCCCCGATAAACAATAAGATGTATTGTGTCGTTCATTGCTTGTGTACACGTGATATTTTTTAGATTTAAAAGCAATATTTCGAAAGAACATAACGCATGTTTTTCAGAAGTTCACTCTAAACAGTTTTGTGATATTGTTCAATTCTAATTCACATTCTTTGTTAGTATTTGTAGATTGGCAATTATTTGCCTATTTTGCACGATTGCAATTATTTTCATAAACCGTTACCGTTGAGGTTGAATCTTCTTTCGGAGCAATCGAGCTACATAAAACTGCTTAGAATTTATAGAACAATTTATTAGAGAGTAGTGAAGCCTAAAGACTGGAGCGACGTTTTACATTTCGGTAATTAAAGATACGATAAGCTTTACTTAAAATGCTAGTGACTATAGATCTTTAAAACAGTGTAACGAAGCCTAAAGCATAAGCCGTGGGGCATTTGGACAGGGAATGAAGACTATAATCCTAAAAAGCATGAGAAAAGAAAAAAATAAAGTATAGCACAACTTACCATAACAAAATGCGGGGGATGGTATGTATGGGGCAAAGTGTGAGGCATTGGTGGGAGTGTCATGCCGGGTCCCTGTAAAACGCAAAATAAGACGGGATGCTGGCATGCTACAGGAAGAAAAGAAAGAGCAACGCAACAACAGAGTAACAAACAAAATATAGCATAGGAAAGAATTAGGTTGCTAATACTTGGGCAAAAAGAAAACAAAAGGTTTGTGAAAATAAAAATGCGCAATACTTAACTATAAAAGCAGCTTAATTAAACTAATAGTATGACGCCATATGAACGCTCCAGCGTTTACATCATTTGAGTGTCAGTAGTTACTTTTACTTCTACATACATACTATTGACTTGGGTATTGTCGATTCTCCTCTAAATTGATTGATTGTAAGTATGTTAAATTTTATGTAATTTGACACATATTATTATATGTAAATGTTACGAGGTACCATTAAAACGTTTGAAGAGAGAGAAGAGTCAATATCATCCCTAATGGATGTTACCATATTTAGTTGACTTTTCAGGAACGTGTTTATGGTATCCCACTTTTCATACAGTCACTCAACAAAACTTGTTTTGTAATCGCGTAGTTAATGGTCATTGACATCTATTATTTAATTCAAAGAGGATAAAGTTGTCGCCATCCCCGGACAACAAAATGATAATCGCAACAAAGTAATATTTCAGGAAAAATAAATAATATGTTTTCATTGATAAGTTTCTAAATACTGAATGTAAGTAGATTAATAGTTAGCTTTAAGTAAAGAATATTTTTTGTGCATTCTATATTATAAATGAAACAGCCGTAAGTTAAGCCAAAATGGAGACATTTCAATAATAAATAATTAATCAAAATCAATCATCATATTGGATTTATATTCAGGATTATCATTTTATTCTCGTTGTGTCTAAGCCGAAAACAAGTATTGCACCGTTGACTTATCATTTTATTCTATGGGTTGCAATAGTACAAGTGGCGATTATAATAATTACCGTAGACCGGGGTTACTTTGAATCTCGGGATTACTTTGATCAAAACTTCCTTTTCACATAAAACTACAAATTGCGTAAAAGACTTTTGGGAGATTTTTTTTTCGGGTGGCAATACTGATAAACAGTCCAGTTCACATCTGCGGGTGCGCTGGAGATTTCCCTGTATTTAATGTACAAAAAGGTAATTTTTCGTTACAACCTATTTTTAATTAAAAAAATGTGTTGCAAAACTTCATGTGCAGCTCAGTGTGTGTTAGTATCATGAATTTTTTGGATAGAATCAAAAGAGTATTGTACATTTGTGAATTCATAACAAAATTTTTTATTGTTCTAACCTTGATGCTTTCGTTATGGCGTCGGTTTATTTTATGCGGTGTGTCACTGATAGGTTGCATGGTGTGAGATTGATCAAGTGTCAGTCACAACAGCCGCTAGCAGGAAAATTTGCTTTGTGGCTTTGCTTTAAATTTTTGTATATTATTTGTTTTGAGAACGATGCCACGAACATCAAACTAAACATGTAACTGAAAACTAGGTTCCCGAGTACCGAAATTACTCGAGAAGCCAGGTTAGAAGAAGCATTGAGTCAAATCGTGGTCGGTAAGCTAACCATGAGACTCATCACTCAATCATGAGACATCACAGCTTTATAATACATCTTATGGAACTTTGTATAATAAATAACAACAATCTCTAATTAAAACAAAGGCCCTGTCATATTTAGTAGTTTTATTCGATCAAAGTTACCCCAAGATATAAAAACAGCAATAACTTTTTTCCCTGTTGACTGACTTTTAATTTTTTATTCTGTTTTAGGATAGTAATTGGGGTTAGTTTCAATATTCATACTAAAAAAGGGGGGTTTCAAAGTAACCCCAAATCAATTATAACTTTAATCACGCTGTTTTTATTTTTTTTCCCAAAAAGTATTGATAAATTGTTTGTTATTTTAACGTTTTTAGAGAGAACTATTAAAACCGATAATTCGACATTTTTTTTATTTAAAAAAAATCACAAGTTAAAAAGTTATATATATAGACTTTTAATTTCAAAATTGATCAAAGTAACCTCGGTTTACGGTACATATCTTATTCTCGTGAACATAGTAAGATATTTTTTCGTAAAGGTATATAAAAGATATTTTTTCGTAAATTCTGCTGTTACAATAAGACCATTATATGATAATCAACTTTTGCTTTATTTTGCTTTATTATACGAACAGCACGAACAGTTTGAAACGGGAATAAAATGTGATAGCTGCGTGTAGCGTTATTTCGCGTAATTATTTTTACGAGAACATAATTCTATTGTCATTTGTCATATTAAGAAACGTAACTCATTTAGTTTAATATTATCATATAACCTTATTCTTGTGCACTTGGGCATGCATAGAAAAAGGGCATAGAAAATTTGAATAATATTGTATTGGAAATGAAACTATTTTTCCGGATTTAAATCGCGTATATTTGTACAAACCGACGTTTCGGGCCCTTTACAGGTCCCATGGTCACGTTCGGCATGGTCGGATTGTTTGAAAAAACAAATATACGCGATTTAAATCCGGAAAAATAGTTTCATTTCCTATGTGTAACAATCGCGAAAACCCAAGAACTCGATAATATTGTATTATTTTGTTATTCCGTAAGTACCTGCTTAAAAAAAAAAAAAAAAAATTAAAATATGTATTTGTACCTAAAGATCTTAAATAAGATATATATAACAAAAACTGTGATAATGGCAGTTATCTTTTTGTCCTCCGGGGATGGCGTTGTGTGTGTATTAGTGAGCAATGGACAATACACCAAGTAAAGCTAGTCTTACCATAGGCCTGTAGCCGGCACCGGTGGTTGCTTGAATAGGTTGTGGACTCCAGGTGGCGCCAGGCTTCGATGAGTTCTTCGGTGAATTCCACTGCATCGGTCTACGTCCACACGTTACGCATCAATGTATGCAATGGTCATGCGTGTACTACATTTGCCCATTTGTTTTAAAAGTAGAAGTCGGAAGAATAAAGAAAGAACAAGATAACAATGCAGTGATGGACAAATCTTTAAATCAAATGGACAATATCGGCTATTGCTATAAGTGAAAGCATCTTGAGCATATTGTGGCGTGTATTGCGTGATAAAGTATGCGGGCTAATGACGTCGTAAATTATTCTATAAATGGTTGAAGATTTATTGCATTGGATTAATCGACACTTTCACTTATCGTTTATATAGCATTGCAAATTGGTTCTGCAATTCAATTAATATGGTAAAAATTTGATGCAGTACTGAATTCACACAAGATGCAAATTTTGGTTTGTTGTGGAAAAACGGTATTCTAGCAAACTAAGTAATGTCACGAACACTGGACAAAGTAAATAAGATATACAGTTTCAGAGGAAAATAACGTGCACTATACCCATTATAATATAATTAGAATGTTTATTTATAAACCACAACTAATAAATTGGTTGCAATATTTTGATGAGTCGAAGTTATACACAAGATTATTCTGCTTTCTAAACTAGGGGATCCCGTACCTTAGGAGGCAGGAAACCATTAACGCATCGACTTCACGAAATGGTAATGCATTATTATTTGTCACCTGAAACCTCGCTAGGACCTATCTACAAACACCTATCAAAGAATTGAAAGTAATTATAATTTTTTCAAGCAAGTACTGTAAAGTCTAAAAACGCTCGTTTCAAGCAAATATATAAATCATCTCAGAAATTTAGCGGATGCTCCTCTGAACACTTACTTCGTCTTCCGAGTAATTCAATGGAACATTGTTTAGGTTTACATGAGCATGACTTACTTTTGGGCAGAAGCACTTTTGTTGATAGTCAAGTTGTTAGCCAACTGAGCAAGAGAAGAATCCAGGTCGCCTGTGAGCACTTTACCCGGCTGTTGTTGTTGTGGTTGCTGTTGTTGTTGTTGACCTGCGGACACAACCGGCTATTAAAGCAGACATTTGGCATTAATAAGTAGCACTTTAAACACCAACGCTATCTGAAATTGAAAGTACAAGTACACACATTCGTCATAAATATGGAACATCAAAGGTGCTATACATTTGAACTTATTTTATATGGTATGTAAAATCTACTACACAAAACAAAAGTTTTATTTTCTGCACAGCAATGCTACGAACGAGGGCGAAACTACAAAAAAAGACATACTATTAAATATAATTAGGTACTCCATCACTATATTGACTTATTTACAATCAATCATATTAGACATCTACATGATGTATGTACAAAGAACTACAAAAATTTAAAACCTGCAGGAAGCCTGTGCTTGGAAATTAAAGGAAGCACATGATAGCGAAAGTTACTGGCGACGCAAGCTGAACGATTTTAAAACATAATCATCCATCAAGCATAAAATATCGAACCCATTGTTGCCATCGGCATCATTGGTTGGCGAGCTGGAGAGCCGAACATCATTGGTTGAGACATCGGCATCGACATGACGTCGCCGAAAGGTTGCGTTGCTATTGGCTGGGGCTGCTGCGTGATGGGTTGTTGGGACTGGGACTGTTTGGCGGGCGAGCCCCCGAGGGACATACGCATCACCTCCTCAAGGTCATCGAATGCCGATTTGGGCTGCGCAGGGGCGGCGGGAGGGGGACGGGCAGGGGAAGCGGATATAGGATGGGTTGGATCTCCCATACCCATAAACGGGTTTGCAGCGGCAGCTTGTAGAACAAATTTCAAAACCTTGAGTTAAACATTTTCAATATGAATACATTAAATTAATAGCGCTAAATCCGTCCGTGTTGCACCAACACCACAAAATATGGAAACTTATTAGTCTTATATTAAATCATTACTATTACTTTAGAGAAGGAAACAATCTGAAGAAAGGGATGCGATGCTTTCTATTTGTGAGTGTTTCAAAAATGAATTAATTGAATTATTTTTGTATTATATCAAATTAATATATGAAGCAGTTATTATAACGGATATCTCATCGCATCCCCAAAGAGTAGAAGAAAGAAAGCACCTCACCTGTAGTGTCAGTGTTATTGAAAACGTTAGAGAAGTTAGCTTCGGACACAAAGGTGTTGTTTGCGGGCGGCTGGGCGGGGAACGCGGCCCCGAATCCGTTGGTCGGTTGTTGCGGCCACATGGGCGCTGCTGGCTGCGCAGGGGCAGGCTGCGGAGCCGCTAAAAAGTGGTGCACATACTTAAATAACAATGCAGTACCACCAAGCCTATCGCCTACCTCTTAGGACCGACATTATACTGCATTGGTATTCAGTATCTAATACTTACGTTCCATTAGCTCTCGTGTAGTGTAGTGATAGACGTTTGCTTTACGCTAATGATGCCGACTTAACGAGTGCCTTTGCGAGTACCATCCCCAAAAAAGCTTGGGATGTGCTTTTATAATACAGTGCCGAGGAACTTTATTTTCTAACCATGTAGTGGACAATGTTATAACTACAAACAATCTTCAATGGCGGACTTTTACTTCCTATGTAATTCACAGACAGTCTAGAGACGATTTTTTTATAATGAGGAGTAAAAAACACATGCCTGCTAGTTATTTCTCCCGCTAGTTACAGCTTTGTCCAATATTCTTTGGTATATTTTATTGTACGTACTATAATACCATCATTGTTTGAGTTGTTATAAGATAAAAGAGCACAGTGTCTTCTTACAAACGGCGCAGATTGAATGAAAAAAAAAAAAATTCAATACGCGATTGACATTTCAATAGTATAAAAATAACATCCAACAGCAGGGCTAAAAAGGCCGTATTGGCAGAATCTTAATATGATTAATAGACACGTCATATTATGAATTGTCAATTAACCGTAGTTTGATTCTGCATTTTTAGTTCACCTATATACATTACAGTAGCCATAAAAGCAGAATTCCCAATCTGCACAAGGGCTTAAAAAAACACTGTCTCTTCAATCGTAAAATGCCTGCACCCAAATAGTGAAAAATTATTTAACTAATTATTTATAGTTGCACATTAATATATTACTATTGTGTTAAGCGATCATTAATGTAAAGTTTAATCGATTCAACCGGTAGTTTAGTTAATTACATTGTTGGCTTAGGAGACTTGAACTCACTGATTATCATTCTTTGTTGTTTGGTGACATGCATGGGTCGAAACCATCAGGGATATTTTTACAGTACAAACTTACTGGATAATAGAAAACGAAACTTAACTGAGATTTAGAACATATAAGCCGTAAACATACTTTTGGATAACTTTCGCTTTAAACTCAGCGCCATTCTACTCATAAAGGGTATAGAATCGAATTCAAATCTTTTGTGTAAAACCCAGTACACTGTTGACAGTGCGTTGTCCGTAATTAGTAAGTTACCTCCAAACATGTCAGCGAAAGGATTGCCAAGTGAAAGCAGGTCATCGGAAGCCTTGGTCTGTGCTGTTGTGGATCCAGCCGGAGCCGGACCGAACAGATCTACGATGGACTGCGAGGGCGCCGGAGCAGTCGACAGGAATGGATTATTCGCCGCAGAGTTTGTAGGAGACTGAATTTTATTCTGAAAACAATTAAAACGTGCTTTCTAAGATTTTAATATCTTATACAAATTATATCAACTATGGCTCAGGACCGTTTGCTGATGAAATTATGACAATTATTAAACTTGGTGATTCCCCATAACATGGCGAAAAGCGGTTTGTACGTGGTACTCTGGGAACCGTTCGCAAACAGAAATCGCACGACAGAGAAGAAAAAACTACGGGTATTAACTGGATGGTATACCGTTTTATTGTGATTCACATTATATGTATAGAGAACCGCTGCGAAGTTTTTCTGTACGTAAACCATCTGCCGTTTCAAGTGGACGAGGTTACAGGGTGTATTACAGCTATGCAACACAGAGGGAAAGTACTTTAAACATTATACTGTTAAGTAGATTTATTTGGTTAAATTACAGTTTTGATCAAAGTAATAAACTTCGCGGGAACGTTAGCTGTCAAAGTGAAAATGTAGGGTGGATCGAAAAAATCGGAACGGAGAATCGATTCGAGACGTCAATAGTATAGTAGCGCACCGTGTACGGACGCATACATTCGCATTTTCTAAGAGTGCATAAGCTTTGCTTAGCGCGAGTCGTGACACGCGACATCCGTTATAGAATTGAAGCGTTCGATCGGTATTTAAAAAATGATATGAAATATCAGACGTGTCTAATGTTACGTATATGGCCTATTACAAAGCTCGATTCCGTTTTACAGAACTCGGCTGTAAAATTAAGACTAGAGGTTCGAGTTATAAGATTCAGTCGTTATAATTTGTTAGTATAACGACTGAATCTTATAACTCGAACCTCTAGTCTCACATGCAAGCACGCGCGGGCACACGCACGCACATGCGGGCACTCGCACGCTCGCGCACGCACTTACAGGCACACGCACGTACTCGCACGCTCACGAACGCACTCGCAGGCATTCTCACGCACTGGCACGCTCTCACACGCACTCATTAGCTTTCGCATGTACTCGCAAGCTGTCTCACAAACCCACTCGCACGCACTCACAAGCATTCTAATTTCGTAACCATACTCCCATAAACGAGAAACCAATGCGGTACAAAATTATCAATATACGTACGTATTGCATTTGACAAAGGTTATTTCAAAATAACACGAAAACACTGTACTGAATAGTATAGCTTTTTTTCAAATTATGTTTACAACGTGCAGGTACAACTAAAATAATAACATTATTATTTTAGTTGTACCTGCACGTAGTAGTTGTCACATGACAACCAGACGCTTCCAGTGAAGTGTAGGTATTGATGCGCTAAACAGGCGGGAGTTGCCCTACTTGTTCTTACGTTCTCTTGTTCTTACTACGTCAACAGCGATGCTCCGGCCGCGTAGTGCAGTCGATCTTCGTATCAGTAGATAGGATATTTTGCTTCATGGAAAGATTATTTTATTTTTAAAAGTAAGTAATACTAGTACTTCATTTGGGAATTGAACCGATCAAATGTGAAAAAAAAAACATCCTTATCTTCATCGTCTGTCGATTATAAGGATTAATTAATTACTTTAAGGAGAGTATTATGCTCAAGTAAGTTAGTTTTTTAATGCAGTATTACTTACATTTAAAAGTAAAATTATATGTCGTGAAGCAAAATGTCTCATCTACAATTTTAAAGGACTTTCCCTCTGTTTCGTATAGCCGTAGGATATACGGGTATATTCCCATCACCATCGACATGGAAATGTAAAGCGCAGACGAATAAGATTGAAAGCATGATACGATCACGATTTAACTTCAAATATAAATAGCGGAATGCTGAAGAGCTACTGAACGACCGTACAATATTTAAATGTAAATGGAGTAGAAAATCTTTTCTATAGGGCAGCTAGAGAACTGAGTTTCGCTTAGTAACGATGAAAATCGATATTCTATCACGAATTCAAGACGAAGTTGCACTGCTTTGGCTGAATTAAAGGCCACAAAAACAATCTTGTTTGCTCAGGTGCGAGCTACCACGACCTCCGAACATACGTCAAATTAGTAATAAATTGGATGCGTCGCTAACTTCTATTTGTCACTATCGTAAAAAAATTCTGCAACGAAATCCAGAACACAAAATACAAAGGAATAAATATGCCGTGTATTGCAATCACATTGTATAGGAAGAGTATTAAATTTATATCCTTTATTTACACTTTAAATTGCGAAAAATGACAAAAAAATATATAATATACGATTACGGTTTTGTTTTGGAAGTATTGAACTAATTCAATTAACAGTAATAAGTGTTATTTTTATAGTCATTAACGTCGGTAGTTATTGATTGTTGACCAAGGAATGCAAATCCCGTTGCTCATTTTTTGGATTTTTTCGAAAAACTATAAGACTTCAGTAGATTCGTGATTTACTTGAAAATAAAAGCAAGTTTTGGCACAAAATCAATCAAATTTTAATCTAATCTTCGGAAGGTTGGAATCTTAATTATCCAAACATAACACAATTTAATCAGTCTTCTTTGAAATAACGCATATATAGAACGACGTCTATCACGAGGCATTAAAATTTCTGGAAATCAGTTTTCTAAAAGAAGATAAGAAAAATTAACAGACATTAGTCATTAAATACTTCAAAATTGTATAACAGAAAAAATACAACAAGTAAAAAAATTTCACAAAAACACCACATCGTAACTATCAGTAAAATGCAAAAAAAAACAAATGTGAGTAAAGTAACTAAGTCTTTAGAAATAATCTAATATTTTTTCTCTGAAACAAAAAAGATCTTAATAATGATAAAGCGCCAATTGTTTTAGAATTAAACCAGCTACGGATTCAGTTGCACAAAATTCCAAAATACTGTTTGCGAAAACGTGAATAGAAACGTTAAAAAAATCCGGATTCGATATTAAAATCCGGATTTCAAAATGTAGTAAAAATCCGAGAAAATCCAGATTATTTACTTGCAAGTCATCCGAATTTCATTCCCCATTGCTGACTAGTCAGGCAACATTCGATATGAACGATGTGAAGAAACAACAACAAAAATAAATTCATTATGTTTACATTTTCCTGAAAATTTGATTAGAAATTATTATTATTTTATAACTTGTCATTTCCTTCTAAGTGTAGTAGTAGTAGTTTTAAACTGTCTGTTAATGTTTTTTTAATGTAAATAGGTAGTTATTAAACGAAACAATTCAATTTAATTATTTGGACTGTTTAATTTACTTCTGCTTTTTTACTACTTTATTTATTCTAAAATCACATTACACATATCACTACCGGCCTTATACAAATACGATGCGATTACAGAGTCTGTTGATGATAAGGGAAAATTATCCTATCGTATTGGCATGTCTGTGGACCATCGCAGCGCCGCACTTCAGACTTTCGACATTTTTTTTCTAGAATAATGACTGATCCTGTAACTTCATGGACTGAATGTTGATGTTGGCAATGATGAGCTATGTATATAACGTCGGTGACGTGTTCATAGTGTGACCTTAAGACATGAATTATAAGCATAAACAATAAATTATAATTTCACCTTGTACCTGTCAAATATATGCCTATATAATATATAACCACAATCAAGAACGAACGTATTGATTCCAGGATGGACCAATAAGGCGGTTTCACATTAGACGACAGAAAATGACAACGGCTTAGAAATTTACTATCAGAAATTAATTAACTGCCATGAATATTGTACAAGATAATAAGCGCAAATTTTAATACAGATATAAAGATTTAAAAAAATAACGCCGCGTTATTTGTACCATATTACCAAAATATTACAATAATTTCAAAGTCACTATCGTGTGCGTCTGTGAAAACACCGGTAAGCACAGATAAAAACCCTAAACAAAATAGAGCATTACACAAACGCCACAGCCCAAGACATTTAATTAGTCTTACTATAATTTCTGACACTTCTTCTTCTCCAGTCCATTCCTCTCCTTGTAATAATTGAACCTGAAAATGTGTTTCCACATTTAATTATTTTCCGCTTCTCTGTGTCCATTTGCAAAATTAAACAAAAAAGAAATACTTACATCGTACTTGTTTGCTTGTTTCAATCTTCTGGAATAAATCTATGATTTCCAACCTTGGTTGAAATAAATACTCGGTGCGCAAAGTACTTTTGGTGGATAAAAAAGCGACTTAACACGATCAAGTACAGTTACCTTGTACTGATTCATTGCAGCTTCTTCTTCGGCAAGGGCCTGTTGCTTTAGCGTGTCATCTATGAACAGCGCGCCATTTGGTTGGTTATCGAGTCGAGTGGACGCTGCTGCGTTGCCAAACGACGACGATGTTGACGAGAGAGCTCCCATTACACTTGCCACGTTCTTTTGAGCGCTACAGGAATAACACAAACCATAAATCCATCATTTAAGGTTCCCAAACTTTTTGGCTCATCGCCCACTTAGACAAGATAAAAAAATTTCAACGCCCACCACCACAAAAAATAATTGAAAACACATATTTTTTATACTAACTTAACACAAACAATCACATGGAAAAAAAAATCAATATATCGACTGTGAACTGACAATCGGTTCTATCTCAATACTGACAGGAGAAGAAAAAATTGCTTGCGTCTTTTTATAGCATCAGGTTTATTTCATAAAAATACGTAGTTTTTAAATTTTTTTTATTACACATGTATGTATGTACACTACGTATTTTTATTTAATAAACCAGATGCTGTATAAATGATTTCATTCTTCATCCGGTAAAGTTATAAAAATTGAGATAATACCGATTACCAGTTCAAAGTTGATATTTTTTTCAAATTCGGTGGCACCCTCTGGACAGCATCAACGCCCTCAAATTGCTTCCGAGGCCCCTACAGCCCCATTAGGACTCTTCAGCGCGCACAAGCGGGCGGTAGGGACCACTTTGGGAAACCATGATTTAAAATAACAGGATAAAAAAAACAGCCATTTTACCTGGCAGTCTGTGTCGGGGTGTTAGCAGCAGAGCCCTTTTTGCCCTCGAGTGTGGCCAAGTGTCCTTCAAGTGCGTCCAATAAGCTGCTGGGCGCCTTTGTCAAATCTGGTATATCACCTTTGTCTATCCCCACATTTTCAGCCACCTGACGAACACGTAACAAGTTAAATTGTTGTACTTAAAGATATAGTAACTTAATAAATTGTACAGTTAAGTGGCGATATTTTTCAAATATGATTGACGTAACAATAGGGGCGTTACCGTAAATAGGTACAGAATAGACAGTTTTGTAAGGACACTGCAAAATCCCAAAGTCAAAATTCTAGTAAATAAAAAAAAATATTATTGAATATTAATAAAGTTACCTTCAAGAATTCTCCAACTCTATCCATGCGAATGAGGAATTTCTTGTAGAGATCAAGCGCATCGCGACAATTCTTTTTGTTCATATCAAAGTATTTTTCCAGCAGGTTTATTATACCGTCGTTGTAGCACGCAAACAATCTGTAATTAATTAGGAATTTAATAATCTCAGTACAGCGTACTAAAAAAAACCGACCTCAAAAGTCATTCATCCCTCAGTTTGCCGCCATTAGAGGTGGAATAATTTCTTCAAATTTAAAATGAACCACATCTGAGGTACCCTCTTTTCTACAAAAAAAGAATCCATTAAAATGGAGTTATCGCGTAACATATATACAAAAAAAAATCCTCCTTCTTTTTTTGAAGTCGGTTAATCAGTACTACAATATTTATTAAATTTTATGTGAACTGCTTCCATGACCGAACGGTTACCATGCTGGACTGCCACGCAGAGGTCCCGATTCCCTGGCCGGGAGAAATATTTGTATGGCCTACATTTATTTCCGTCATGAGTTTAGGTGTAATTTGTGGTTGTCTATATGTGTGCTCTGGCTCCCGCGACACAGAATTTCCCTAGTGTGGGGCAATGAGTGTTGCGTTTTGCGTTTAATATAAGTGGATATTATATATACATTATTAAATCAAACGCATATAAGAACAGAAATTACCACCAAAAATAGTACGGAATGAGTACTCCCAAAACATTACAGCACTTCAGTAAAGTGGGTAATTTCCAAGCCCAGATTTTTTAAGTTTGATATCTTTTTTAACGCACTCACTCAACATAGCCCCGCACTAGGGAAACCCTGTATCGCGGGTGCCACGGACACACACATAGACAACAACAAATTACACCCAAACTCAGGAGAGAAATAAATGTAGGCCATACAAATATTTCTCTCGGCCTAGGAATCGAACCCAGGACCTCTGCGTGGCAGTGCAGCATGGTAACCATTCGGCCACGGAGGCAGTCATAATCATAGAATATCGCTAAGCTTCGATTTAACTAGTGTTAACACTAGCTACGTACCGAATAAGATCTCTGAAAAGCAGCATGAAGCACATGTTTATGACGCCATTGGTAAGGTCGTTGGCAGTACAATCGAACTCCAGAAGAGCATCCAGCTGCGCCTGCAGCACGGGCAGCGTCTTCAGCAGCTTTTCTGCATTCATCATGCGTAGTGATCCTTCCTCCTTGCTGTACCATTAAATAAAAATTACATGGTTTATATTGAAAGAAGATTATAGCTAGCACTACAAAAACATTTCATTCTATTCCATACCAAATCAGATATAAATATTGTAGTAGGTAGAATTACCGTATAAAGGCAACAGTTTTTTAATCGCAAATACTTAGAGAATTAATAGCTAGCTCGTTATATCGTCATACATAAATGTGTATAATAGGAGACACCTACCCCCTCTTGACCTTGCAGAAGTCGAAGGCGACAGTCCTGTAGGACAGTGCCTTTTCATTGAGGTACTTGGCGTAACGCCTGATGAACGGAGACATATCATAGCCTGCATACAATACAAAATATGAGAAAGCTTCATAAAGTAACTACTAAATAAAATACTTACCATCGTGCCCATAGTGCAATACAAGATCTAATATCAAATAAAATTGAATATAAATGGAAAGCTTTAGATTTGAATTTTTACAAACTCATATAGGCACGTGTAATTTGTAATATATTTCCCATTAAGAACCTTAAGCAATTACAAACACTCCATATAAATCTTAGTAAAATTAATATCATGCAAAACAAAAACAATAAAACAAGTGCTTGTGCAGTGTAAAGAAATCATGACGGTGCAATTAAATTTGTGAAGTTGGTGTTTTAACTACTATCATTGTGTATTTTTTATCAGTCTATGTCAACATTGAAGTTTATTTGAATATCCAGCCAATGACCCGATAACAGCTCAGCTACAAGTGGGCGGATTATTGCTATACAGTGCACTCTACAATTTAATTAATCTCAGTTACATTCGTCGATCCATAACCGCAAAAGCAAATAAAATCGTCATTGCTGCCATTACGCGTAAACAGTGAATATCAATATCTTTCAATTATGGAACGACAAACACTGCAATTGACCCTATTTAGTATGCATTGTCTATGTAATAAAAAATACAAGCCAGTTGATGTGAATAATATTTTACAGCACGAATCATCCCAACAATAATTTACAATATGGCTAGGTTCTATAGTACATTCTTTTCTGATTAAGGAAAATTAATGACAGCAATCTAACCCAATTCGTCTGTCTCGTGTTTTCTTGTAATACCGTATCCGAGAAACGAAATGGCAAGCTCATACATGCCTATAAACAAACAACTCTATAAGAAAGCCTCTCAGTGTGCACAGTGATGGAACAAAACATATGCCTGTTGCATGAGGGGCGAGTTTACGAAACACTGGTGCCAAACTTGCTCCCACAACCTAAAGCTGTTACTACAAACTAGAATTGGACGGACAAACACGTATACACAAAGCTTCCATTTTCTAAAGAACACTCACCGATTCTGGCACCGGCTGCGCCTTTTCGAGAGCGATAGGAAATTAGAAATATTCAGTTAATGTGGCGTAGACAATGTACATAACTAAAAACTATATGCGTAACGGAGATATTATATATATATACACATACACACACACACACCAACTAAATGTACCTTAGTTATATACAGTTCTTTACCTAAAATATACTTACTATACTTACACCAATTGTATATCCCAACTCTAGTTGAAATGTACAATTTATACTGTCGCATTTTTCTGTTCAATTGTTGTTAAATCGATTTATGAATAACATATAGGTAACTATGCTTAGGAGACTATACTACTTTAACCATTACAATGTCAAATGTCATGGTGACAGCCAGCATTGATGATTATTACGGCGCCATTGCGAAAAATTTTTTTATATGAGAAGTTTTCTATGAAATAAATGGAATTATCTATACTAAAGTTAACGTTGCGTTATGTAATATAGATTAGGGCCTGGAACTAAGAACTAGGACCTATTTTGAGATGACGTAATTATTATTAAACAAACAAAATATATTTTTTCTTAATATCACACATGAAACCAAATATTGTCTTAATTCAAAATTGTGGAATTGAGTAAACACGATTTAAAGTTTCAAAAATTACTGAATGTACCCAATAAATTTATATTCTCGTTTACAAATGGATACCTAAATATTATGTGTGTGTGTATATATATATATATAATATTTGTTAATTATATCTAATTGGGAATACATATATATATTATATATATATATATATATATATCTTTAGTATTATAGTGGTTGTAAAATTCGCAACTATTCTAAATTTTACAGTAACATAAATCATGATTCAATAAATATTCGTGTCTCTAGAAGCTGGTCTGAGGTACAAGTCATCGTATTTCTTAATTAAAATTACCCAAGATTAATGTTTAATGTTACAAATTGTAAAACATTAAAACAGTACTAAGGAAGCCTCTGAAGAAAACTTAGCAGCATAAAATTGTACTGTAGAATGTTCTGACATAATATTTAATTGTAAGTAGTCTTTTGTTTTTATTTCAATTTACCAAACGTTGCCTGTTTATGACAGCGAGTTTAAAAGTTAAATAAAATACATCATAAAATGCAAATTTAGAAATCGAGAATGAAATACGTCATTCACATAGCAACCAGCTATACCATAAGACGCCAAGAATATTTGGCAATAAGATTCGTCGTGTAAGTGTAGTGGTAAATAAAACTTCCGCGCATTTCCTTACATCAGGCAAGGAAAATAAATCTTTGATGTACACCTACATTATTAGCGACTAAAAGTTAATCTTGATATTACACGAATAAAAATAGAATCTAATTAGGAATATTGATTATGACACTCACCTTGCACTCCACTTTTATCTAAGAAATTACTTAGTTGAAATGTTGAATTACTGGACGCTAGGTACTGTGTGAATCTCTGAAAGGTACGAAAGAATAAAGTTAGACGTAAAGGTTTTCATTATGTATTTATTTTAATATTTCAGACAAACAGACCAAACATATTTGGGGGCCGTGTGCATTAGCGTTAACAGGCTGGGACTTGTGAAGTGCGCGTACATAATTTTATCAAGCAGTTTAAGACCTATAAAGATACTTTATTGACTCAAGTGGTCGGTCGAATAAGGACATTTATGTAGCGGGGTGATAATAGCACTTTATCGAATAAAAGAGATATCCACTTTAAATAATTTGAATCATGTCGTAAGTACATTACAATGCCTAAGGTTACATTTTCTGCTTTATATGTACTTTTCTCAAACATGCTCGGGAATGTTTGCATTAGGGCGTTCGCGCACTACGTTCGATTCGTATTAGTTCCGAATTCGAGAAATGATGGTCCGAAATGTCAATCATTTTATCTCCAGGTGTACAAGCGACACTCGTATTTTCTCGGATTCGTCAAGCGACATCCGAAGGGCCCGAGTTTTCTAGATTTGTATAGTCTCGGTTTTGGAACGAATAGGAATCGGATGCAGCGCGCAAACGCGCTTACTTTTAAAAAACGAACATGGATAGTTTGCCATTTATGGACCATGTGTCTTCTTCCCGGTCAAGGTCTGCAAAGTAAGTACCTATGAAAATCCATTACTGTCCACTTTTCTAAACTTTTGAATCTATCTACTAACAATGAAATATGTAAACAGGCGAAAGAAAACTCATACAGCCAACTGCTCAGTGTTCGTAATAGTATTAAAAAATACCTACCTGTACCGTTTACTATAAAAAAAAGAAGAAAAAGGTGGTAAACTAAAGTGATTTGGTATTATTTTCTGTTTTTTCATCTTTTTTGTATTTTCGTCGCGAAAATTAGTTCTACTTCGAAGAGCGATAACAAAAATACAGCAATGGATTGTACTCTGTCTTAAATTAGTCAAAGGCAATTATTATCCACGAAAAATTGTTTGGCGGCTACGAGCAAACTCATAACTTTTGAAATTTTCATGCACTGGAGAACCACATGAACCACACTATCAGAAGTTCAGAATACTATTATTAATGTGGCTGGAAAAACATGAAATTGATATTGATTAAGTTTTTTAACTTTTTCTATTAGGCATCTTCCTCTCTTCAATCTTTTATTATTTCCTCACATTGTTTGAGAAAAGCACTATATAAGCCTCGGCGGGAACGGGGACTGCTTGACTCATATTAATAACTCATACTCGTCCAGCAATCCCTTACTTCTCGGCCTCTGCAATAACGTACTATATATAATCAATAACTATGTTTAACAATACATTATCATTTGCGACATGAGTCACAAACATTTTTGCTACTTTGACAATCACTTAGCAAAATTATTTTTCCATTTCGCGACATGCAGAGTAAATGTATGGTTTAAACAATCGCAAGCTAGGGTAGACGCAGTAAATTAATGTTTGATAAGAACGCTCAGTTTCAGAAAGCAATTACATATTTCCTCTGTACCTGTTATTTATGTCTTATTGGTACTCGTACATTTCAAATTTCGTAAATGCAAAATTTTTGGACTTCGTAATTATAAAAGTGGTAATGGACTCACCTCATTGCCATATGCTAGTAGATGGTGTACAGTAATAAGCGCTTTATAAACAACGACCCAGTTGGTATTCTGGGTGCGCTCGACGAGCAAGTTTGCCAGCTGGGGTATCGACACATTCGGTTCATTGGTGCAGTGGACTAGATCTGAAACAAAATATCCCTGTCTATTCAAAGAGGCCGCATACAACCCAATGTCGTTACCATCTTCTACAGCAATTGTACCGGCAACAATCTAAATTTGACCACTACTTCTAGCACAAATACCTACTTCACGGAACAAATTTACCAAATTGTTAATTATCAAATTGTTTATCGATCCGCGTATAAAATTACTCTAGGCAGTAACAATGTCTGATAAAAAACAGATGTAACGATCTGCTAAAGTGACTGATACAATAAATATGTGATTTTTAAAAATTAATACTTTGTTCAGTACATTTTTGTTATCTACATAATTTATCTAATTTGCCGAAACGCGTGCTGACAAAACGATAAAACAAATATTGAGCATGTTTGACATTGAGCAAATTTTCCAATTATTCTATTGAAGCACTTTATATCTACCCAATAAAGATGGGTTCATAGGGTTCTTCAATATATCTTCTCACTTTGGGGCCACAGCATGATTACTTATAAATTGTAGCTTTTGTTACAAACGGAGTTACGTTATTTTATTAATAAACAAAATTTTATGGTTTCATAAATAGAGAAACGATTTATTCTTTCAGATATTTTCAGATATTTATTTTGAATACTTCTATTAAATTATTTGTCCTCGTTGTAATACCGCGAAAATGATTTAGCAGCTGAAGGTGTCAGCTTAACTTAAATTTAGAATATTATCTTAATTACTTAAAACAAATTGTATCTGGTACCAACGTTCATGGCGAAGTGATCAGCGAAAAATGTCAGGTTTCTCATATTTAGTATATCTCAATGTAGGCTAGCAGACTTGCCGTCTCTTGCCTAGTTTTGTTAACAGTGATTGAGCTATTAACTGAGAATAACGTCAATATAGTTACAGATCAACTATAAACCTGTTGTTGATTGCTTTGTTGTAAGGTTTTAGTATATTGACTAGCTGTACCTTGAGTCTTCTAATGAAGATGATAATAGGGGACTATGACTGTTTTGGTGAATAACATATTATTTTTCCGCTTCTTAAAGAGCCTCTCCATTATGGAAGATTGGTGGTCAGTTTTCTTGTCCAGAGCTAGCCTGAACAGTTGTTGCATGGTCATGATGTCCACTGTGCGGTTCACTCCCTGGTGTTGCGAAGTCATGGCATTTTCCTTCTTCCAACCTTCCGCTTCCCAGCTACTTTGCCCATCATTATGGTGTGCAATAGATGATATCTGTTTTGTAGTACATGACCCAAATAGGCAACCTTCCGCTGCTTGACAGTACGTATCAATTCCATCTTCCTCGCCATACATTTAAGGACCTCGACATTCGTGACTTTGTCCGTCCAACATAACCTGAGGTCTTCTTTTATGGTCCACGATTCGCATTCATAAAGAACGACTGGCCAGACGTAGCATTGCAAGGGCCTAGTGCGGAGTTTAACAGACAGCTGCCGGCTGCTTAAAACTTTCCTCGTTGTGTCAAAGCATACCCGAGTAACTTCTATATGCACACACATCTCGGTATCACTTTCCCAGGAACATATTATTATTAGTTATATTAGGAACATATTATTGCCAACAACTTATTACGTAAATCATGTTAAAACATATAAGTTTCTAGACATAAATCAATTTCCTAACAGTATTAGGCTGAATTTACATTACCGCGGCATAGAAGGGAATTTTTGAAAAGAAATTGTACATACATAGCACAATGAACTTTATCTCAATTATGTAAGACTGCGCGCGAATTGTCCGGAAGAATCGTGACCTGCACTTTGGCTCGTATCTAGTTTGTACGTTACACAATTGACATAAAAGTTTCACGGCAATGTAAATTGAGCGTCATAGTTCACTTAGAATACAAGGCTGAGATTCATAAATCGAACTTTGACTTTGACTAAGCAAAAATGGCGAATTAAGCAAGTTTTTTCGTATTTACAAAACAAACTACGCATACGTTTAAGCAAGAAATTATGAAGTAAACTCAAAGTTTAATTTAATTTCTTGCTTACATTTGGGCAAAGTTCGTTTTGAAAATACAAAATACTTGCTTTCGTGCTTACATTTGGGCAAAATTCGTTTTGAAAACACAAAAAACTTGCTTATATTGCCATTTTTGTTTAGTTGAAATCCAAGTTCGTTTTATAAACTTCAGCGAGAAAGAACGGTTACACAGGGCGACTTATAGCAGCGATACAAACGCGCGCGTTCGCGACATTTGAGATTTATAGGCGGTTGACTATCCCTGACTCTATGTGACGTCATAAGAGGCACAGAATCTTAGATCTTGTTCAACCAGTTTGAAATCCACCTTCAAGTGGAGGTGCTCCTGCTGGACAGTTAACTCTACACGTCAGTAATCACGCAACACATCTGCTCATAGTAATTCGACTGATCGCATGATTATACGATGAACAAAAAAAAATGCATCGCGTTTGTATCGCTACTAAGTCGTGTGTGTGAAAAGGTTGACTGTTCGATTCGTCTATTTCCTATTTCGTCTATTTTTCCGACCGGTCTACTTTCCCGACAGGTCTAGGTACTTTAATGTTGCGTCTACTCAGGATAATCTCGTACAGAGTACTAAAAAAACCGACCTCAAAAGTTTGTGAAATTATATCTATTTGCCAAGTTTTATTGAAATCGATTACCGGAAAGAGGACGAAACTCGATTCACCCCCTAGTTTGCCACCCTTAGAGCTGGAATATTTTCGTCAAATTGAAACGGGACCACTACTGAGGTACTCTTTCCAACAGAAAAAGAATTATTATAATTATACACAAATGGTTAACGTAAAGCGGCCATAATTATCAAAAACATAAAAAATGTGTCGATGACAATCGACGCTGGACCGTTTTGATAAGCGGACCGATCGGGAAAGTAGACGAAATGGGAAATAGACGAATCGGGAAAGCGGACCATTTGGACAAGTGGACCGATCGGGAAAGTAGACGATTAGTGTAAGTGGACCGATCGGGAAAGTAGACCGATTGTACAGAAGGGGATTAGCTACTGCATCGCGACTGAATCGCTGCAGGGGCGCTGCTAAAAACGTCGCCGTGTGTAACCGCTCTAAGAAACTCTATTGTAGGTTCTAGTCAGTAACTGTTGCTTTTATCGAAGAGTTGACCTGTACATGTTAAAGTAAAAAAAAGGTCAGCTAAAAGCCATGGCCTTTGTTATAGTATTGTTTTTCAAACTTGACACCACAAATTGAAAATTACTGGGTTACAACATCCTTAGAGCCCTTGTTGAGGAAATCACATGACCATGACATGCATCTACTAGCACAAAATAGCAAATATACTTTTTTTATTATAATTTTGGCCAAGCGTGTGTCTATTAATTATTATTAAATAATCTCAGTATAGAATTTCTGAAAAGTAGTCTTAGCAAAGCTATCACCAATATATAGTATAAGTTAATTAAAGTAAATTAACAAAAATTAGGTAATACAACAACCATGACAGTGAAGTATACAGTAGCAAATGTGTGTTACAAATGTATTGGAGAGTCCATATTAGTTGATAAATATTATCACATTGGTAAAACACAGGAAAGAGCTCTGTCCGCTTGTTTATCATATTTCACTGCACTCATGCAATACAAATCTAAGTAAACTAAAAGTAGTTAAGACTTATTTCCTGTGTTAGTGATTTCTTTTTGTAAAAGGTTGTTTGCAGTGATTTAGGATTGCCTTAATTATACATATAAAGAAAAACAACTACAATAAATATTATGTGACTGGGAAACAAAGTCATTGTACAATTTAATACAGGCTTCTGCGGTTCTACACGAAGTACAAAATTCAAAATTGTACACAGGTCAGTGTTTACTTATGGTACTTTGCACTGGAACAATAATTATGTGTTATCTCTGTCACACCTGTTCAAATTATTTGTGAATACCACTGATACCACCTCTACAAAGTATAGTTAGTTACTTTGCATTGACAGTTGCATGCACAGACATTCAGCAGTGACAGTTGTTTAGATAAGTTGGTAGATACTTTAGAGATGAACAAATTAACTAAACCAGGGGTTGAATTGTGTAATTTGGAAATCATCCCAATATAAATTGCGATAAGTGTAATTTTAGTTTACTAAGCCCATTAGCTATATTTCAATTTATGAAGTTCATTAATAGTTTTTGCAAGTAACTAAGGTTGACAATTCATGCTGGACATCAGGCTGGCTTTCAAATTAAAAGTTAGTGAACAGGTTTATCGATAAGCAAACAAATGCACGTCAGCTACATGTAGCGATAATTGTTGACTGTATTCAGAGCAACTCAATATCAAATTTTTGCAATTTTACTCAGTATAATGTTTGTACTCCAAAATACTTCAGATGTGTACACATGTAGGCTTTATTTCTACAAAATGTAGAATAGTATATGAACAATTAACTGTTCTGGGTCCATTTCTGATAATTTTCTTGAAATCACTGGTCATTGTAATTTGCCATTTGGCCATTGAGATCACTGAAATTATGTTGCAATTTTGATAATATTCATTATTCTGCTAAAATGTAGTTCAGTGGAATGGCAGTGATGGCATTCATTCAATCAATCACTAACAGATGTTGCTTTACTAAAACTACCATGGAAATTACTGTGCATATCTTAATATTTATCTCATTTAATCAGGAATTTAATCATCAAATTAAATGTATCTTTTTATGTCAAATAATTAGTAGACTACACCATCAACGTGCCATTGACTTACCATTGAAGAGAAGAATACCAAAAAATTGCATGCCAGTTCAATAGTAGCTCGATAACTAGCAACTGATAAGCCACTACTCTTTTTAGCAGAATACCAAACATACAAAATCCTGTTATTGCCACTCTATCGACATACAATTGACATGATTTTAAATTATCAGAGGAGCCCTGATATTTTGGAATTATAGAATAAATATCAACAAAGGCATTTTGATATTTGGGAATTAAGATTATTTACTAAATGACCACTTACTATAACGGTGACAGAAAACATTGTAACAAATTCTGGATTTTAGGGAAGACTCAATGAAGTCTTAAATGATACAGTATCTAAACAACAAGTCATGGCCTAAAACACAGTGCTTAGAGACCACCTGTACCCAGCAATGCAACTTTACTATACATCAATGTATGTATGGTGAAAAAACAGGTCATACATTTCAGACACAACACATTATCATCTCTATTATGTTAACTTCATGAAATGTAACAAACATAGCAGGTACGTAGTAAGTTTTTCATCATTTATTACATGAAGTGATAGTATAGTATATGCTATTCAAATTTTTATTTCAATTTACCAACATGCCAGTTATTATCTTCGCACCTGCTAATATGACATAATGCAGAAATGTAAAACTATGTCGAGTTTTCTATAGTGGGGCACGAAAATGTATACAGATAATGTTACTGCACCACCTGTAACTCCATTAGTGACTATTTCTATAGCTATTAGTTGATTAACTTGGTTCGAAAGTAGTAAATAAGTTTGGAATCTGTCTTCGTCATGCATAGCACGATCATACGATGGGAGTTGTAATATCGACCATAGGTGTAGGTCGCAAATGTCAAAAGCTAACGAGATTATTGAGCGGAAAGCGTGTGCCTGTTCGTGTACTGTTTAACTAATTTCGGTCAAAATAATATTATAAACAATACTTACAATCTAAATGTTTCTTTTTAGGTGCAATCATTTCTTCGGTGGTAGCTTTGCATACTGATTTTGCTAATCCCTGGCCGGCGATACTATGGCGAGCAGCTAAAAGTCTATCGTTTATTGTCTGACCTGCCATCTTTACGTGCAATCCCGACATAAACTATTTACTTAAACCTCTGAATTGCTTTTAGCAAATTCACAAATTATGACGACGACAAAAATGAATGTTACCGCCCCCCTGACAACCACTGTACTAAAATTAAGATGGCGACTGGAATCAGACGGAATGTCGTATGTCTGTCCCTGTCCAGCAGGTTCTTAGGGTAGCGACATCTATTAAGTTGGCGTGGCCAGAATACAATTATTCTTTAGTCTATGGATGGCAATGACACGCATTTGTAAAAATTTTTCCACATACATTTGGGTAATTTTCCGAAAAATTGAAATAGTTGAAAAATTGGAAAAAAATAAGAAATTGGAAAAATATAATTTCCAAGATTTATATTGTTCTACATTTGGAACTTTTATTGCAGTTTTATTAAGCGTGAATTATAAAATAAATTTCTATAGCTAAAAAAAGATTGTCCAAATGTCTATGTCATGTCCATAACGTAATAATTAAGTTTTTCAAAAATGGTTAGCAGATTTTAGTAATATTTAGGGTAGTATTCCAGAACTCTACTCAATGCGTCAACCGTGACCATGAGACCTGTAAAGGGCCCGAAACGTCGGTTTGTTTGAAAAAACAAATATACGCGATTTGAATCCGGAAAACTAGTTTCATTTCCTATGTGTAACAATCGCGAAAACCTAAGAACTCGACATTGAGTAGAATTCTGGAATACGACCCTTAGAAGGGCAACTGCAAGATTATCAATTTAGATCTGGTCACACTGGTTTTTCTCGCTTTGCTCTCGGCCGAAGGACTTTGTTTCCATGGCCAGCAATAAATTAAAAAAGAAATCGCCTTGGTCTGTGGTAGAGCGTGGTGGTTGTTGTCGTCAGCCATTTTAGTGAGTTCGTGATTTGACTGTTATTACCGGTAAATTTTATGTCCTTTACCTTAGCAGTGCAGTATTTCGAAGAAGTTATATTAGCCCATACTTATTAAAAGTGATTAACACCTGTAAGAGATCTACCAAACAAGCTTACAATAGAGGAATTGATTAAAAGTAGGAAGTACAAGATTTGTAAGTTAAAATGACCTACCTTATGTATTATTATTACCTTACCTATTGTTATAAAAAGAATACCTAATACTGAATGAGATTTTGACCACTTTGAGATCATTTTTCAGTACTCAGATAGTCATGTATATGCGCAAACTGCCTATAAAGGTGTCACCGTGATCTCGGCATGTCAGGAAGAGAATAATTTTTTTGATAGTGAAATTACATTTGAATATTTTTAAGTACGTTAGTATTTTAGGGCATTAAAATAAATAGACTGAATTGTACTGTAAATATCGTCGAAATACCTTCTATTTTCGGCTGTCCTCAGTTCGTATTGGACTTTTCAACTTATTTTCCCCATAATATCTCTACATCGTTTTGGCCACAGACATATAACTAGATAGACGCAAGTGTACGTACTTCGCGTGCCCAAAGTAAGTGGAACTCGCTTAGTTGCCGCTGCTACACTTCAGAACGCGCTTGACCGTTATCGTAGATGAACACCAGTCGAAAATGCGAAAAATGCATAATTGTGCCATTATAAACTGCAAAAGCACCATAACTGCGGGTAAATGGGTAAACAGGGACGTTTCCTTCCACAGGCAAGTGATTTCGTAATCACACGATGCATAATTTATTTTAAAAACAATTATTTTGGGTTTGTATGAATTTCGAGGAAACAAATATGCAACCGAGTGTATGCCTCATGATTTGTAATACATTGCTGCTTTTATTTGGTGCAATATATTTGTGATCCTTTGTTAATACACCATGAATATCGAATGAACGCACTTTTGTATAACATGTTCAGTTTCGTGGTATGGTTGCTTGTAGATTTCTCTGGCCAAATTTAACATTTAGTGATGTATGCGTTAAACAACCCTGTTCTCGATTCTGATCGATTTTGAAAAGAAGGGGACGAAAATTACTATGACCTTAACAATATTATAAAAATATTCTATAATTCTTTTGTTATAATGTTTAGTAATGTTTTGTTTTTTGTCAGTTTTGTAGTATCTATTATCCTATTGGAGACCTAAACATCTTCAGGACGCACTGATGTTATAGTTTTAAGTAATATATGAATATAATTGAATGTCAGTATAGTATAGGTTAATAAATAAATAAATAAGTATCAGTAGTATCTGTAATGTTGATAATTTTTGCAGCATGTTGCCTCGAATGTCTGAATATAGTGAGCAAATAATTACATACATCGCCAGAGATGTAGTATGAATAATATAAAAAAATATATAATTCAAAGTTTAATTATTTAAAAATATATAATTAACAGTGAGCTGTCTTTACAAAAACCTGAAGTTGATCATTCGTATGAGTTGCTTTCGAGGACTAAGGTGGTAGACCACCTAAGTAAAAGCTAGAGCTTTTCCCACCTAAGATGCTATCCAAATATGCAGAGCAGCAATGTTAGAAATCTCAGATAGAGCTTCTCCCACCTAAGATGCTATCCAAATATGCAGAGCAGCAGAGTTAGAAATCTGAGATTATTATAACAAATAAAAAAAAATAAAAAAAAATAATCACAAATATATAATAATAATAATAAATAACTTTAGTAAAGCTCTTCTGATTAATAAGATTTTACCATATTTTGTCAGCAGTAACATTTTAATTTGTCTTTCCATTCATCAATTTGATCAATTACCAACAGAAAACCATGTAGTAAAATTAATTAAGGCAGTTGCAAGTTCATACATATATTGACTTGCATTTTCTTTATTTAAGTTAATCAATACGACCTTCTATTACAAAAAGATGTTATTATAATAAATTCATTTTATTGGAAGGGCAATAATTTTAATATTTGAAGTTGATTAAAAGTTAGTAATTTTCTTTAAGTAATCAAAATTTTTTTTAAAACAAGTAAAATAAAGGACTTAACTATCTTACTCCAGTATTTTTCTACTATATTAATATTACGAATACTTGTAATAAACAAATACATGAACAAAAATTATTCTATTTAGAATTGATTAATTGAATGCAATGCGCGTGTTTACGCGTATCTCGTTCAATCAATCGATTTAGAGCGAGCGGAAAGAGGTTTCCATCACGAAATAGTTCTTGTGACATCATAGTGGGTACAAAAGATGTGCCACGCTTGGTTTTCATACAAATTGCTGTACTTGCGGCGTCTATCTAGATATATGTCTGAGGTTTTGACGCCTTATGCCAACGCAAAATGCCCAACGGGCAGAATGTCAGAATAGCAGAATGCCAGATTCTCAAAATGCCAAATGTTAAAACGAAATGTAGTTTCCTTTAACTACTAAATATCTGATCTTTTTTTTATCAAAGAAACTTGCTAACTTTAGAGCTTCAATTAGATATTACTAACTTATATTGTTATATTGGTATGTACGCATGTTTTGAAATGCATTATTTTGTTAGGAATTCCAAATTAGTTAAAATTTAGAAGTTAAAGGAAACTACATTTTGTTTTTACTAAATAAGTAAAATATCAGAGCTTCGCTTCATTATTCAGACGAATGAAGTCTGGACATTAGTTTGTATCTCAGGAGGAGAGAGGCCTGTTCCTAGCAGCAACACTTGGCATTCTGAGAATCTGGCATTTTGCTAATCTGGTTTTCTGCAAATCTGGCATTCTCCTAATCTGACAGTCTGCCCGTTCGGAATTTTGGATTTCTGGCATAACACGTTGACGTTGACACGTCAAAATGCTTTACATATCATTTGAATTTAAAGCATTTTGCTGACTTCCGGGCTTTTAGGATTGTTAGCGCATTTTGCCAGGGAAATTAATCTGTTTTATTTTTTTTTATTGAAAAAAGTATACTATTTACGTACGTAAGTACGTAGACTTAAAAAAAATATAGGGTATATTGTGACCAAATTTCCATCTGTGAGCAGATTTCCAACTAGTCTAGGTCTAGTAGCATCCTAAGCTGAGATCTGTACTCACAGGGAGCCTTCAGACCTCACCCGCTACTTAATTTTTTAAATGGGCTCAGAGCCCTCAGCTCCCCCTTTTGTCTCATCACTTTTTCCAGCAATATTCATTTCAATAACATTAAAAATTATTTGAAAAATGTTATTTAAAAAATGAGGTTCTTTGGCTAATATAGATTTGTGAATAGTCTATGGTTGCACAGGACTGGACGGAAATAACTCGTTCAGTTCATTCAATTAAAGTTTTTGTTATCAATTAGTGAATCGAAAATTTAATCACAATCGAATGAATATCTAAGTGTAAGGATATGAAGGAGGATTTCAAATTAGATTTAAATTTGCGTTTATAGGTTATGTAAGAAAAAAATCTAATCTCATGTAATATCATTACTCAGTATTGAATCACATATTTATTGTAAAGTAATCAACAGTAAAATCACAAAACTCATTTCATTATATAAAACCCAGTTATTCCAACAGATTCATTCAATTAATTAATTAATTTGTAGTTGGCAGTACAGTTGACCATCACTAAACTATCTATGGTCGGGTCAATGATCTGTTTGTTTACTTTTCTAGTACAGTGGTTTGGAACAGATTATAACTATTATATATTTTTTTTGTAAACTTTCATGTTTGTGATTCGAAGAACCATCATCACCATACGTCGCCCAGTGCTGGGCATAGGCCTCACCCAACGATATCAATGACGATCGATCCTGCGCTGCCCGCATCCATCGGCTTCCCGCGACCTTTACCAGTTCGTCTATCCACCTGGTGGGGGGCATACCCACTGAGGGTTGTCCGGTGCGCGGTCGCAATTAAAGAACCTTTCCGCCCCAATGGTCATCGGTTCTCCTGGCTATGTGTCCCGCCCACTGCCACTTCAGCTAAGCAATTCTTCGAGCTATGTCGGTTACCTTAGTTCTTCTACGGATTTCCTCATTTCTGATTTTATCACGTAGGGAAATACCCAGCATAGCTCTCTCCATTGCCCGCTGACTGCCCTTGAGCCTTCTTATGAGGCCCATAGTGAGGGACCCATGTTTCTGATCCATATGTGATCACTGGCAATACACACTGGTCAAAGACTTTCGTCTTGAGAGACTGAGTTAATTTGGACGCAAAGATTTTTTGTCGTTTCCCGAACGCTGCCCATCCGAGCTGGATTCTACGAGAGAGCTCTTTCTCAAAGTTGGACTTACCTAACTGGACTGTATGCCCCAGGTATACGTATTGGTCAACAACTTCGAGTGTAGTGCTCCCAATTTTATCTGGAGCGGGTACAACATGGGCATTCCACATGACCTTTGTCTTGTCTATGTTCATCCTTAGACCCACTCTTTGGGAAAAACTTCTGAGATCTTCGAGCATTGTGTTCAGATCTCCCAAGCTCTGAGCCATAAGAACTATATCATCGGCAAATCGAAGGTGTGTTAGATATTCACCATTGATATTGATGCCAAGTCCTTTCCAGTCCAGAAGCTTGAAAATATCCTCCAACGCAACTGAGAACAGTTTCGGAGATATCACATCTCCCTGTCTCACGCCTCGTTGCAGTTGGATAGAATTAGAGCTCTTATCCTGTAATCGGACTGACATAGTGTCGTTTTTGTATAAGTACCTTAACACCTCGATATACCTACTTATAGATAGTCTACTTGGCACTTTTGGAGAGACTGCGGCACTGCCCAGGGCTCGATCGAATCAAAGGCCTTCTCATAGTCCACAAACGCTTAGCAAAGTGGTCGGTTATACTCCTCGGTCTTCTGTATAACCTGCGGCAGCTTATGGTTGTGGTCTATAGTACTAAAACCCTTTCGGAAACCGGTATGTTCGGGAGGTTGGAAGTCGTCAAACCTGCGGGCGAGACGATTCGCGATAACTCTCGAAAACAACTTATAGATATGGCTCAGAAGAGAGATTGGCCGATAGTTCTTCAACGGTGTTTTATCACCCTTTTTGAAGAACAGGACGAACTCGCTTGTGCCCCATGCCTTCGGCGTTTGTCCTTCGACGATGACAGAATTGAAAAGCTTCTAGAGGAATTTAAGTATCGGCTTGCCGCCAGCTCTTACAGGTTCTGTAGTGATTCCATCATCGCCCGCCGCTTTGTTCTTGAGTTGTTTGAGAGCCACACTAATCTCATATAGGCTGACGTTTGGGATATCTTCGGTATAATGTCGGGTAAGCTTGGCTCTGGGGTCTTTAGCCTCGCTTTCAACGGGTGCTTTCGTGGAGTATTGCTGTCGATAGAAACTCTATATCTCCTTCAGGATTTCAGGCTTACATGAAATGATGCTATCGTCATCAGTTTTCAGTTTCGTCAGTTGGCTTTGCCCAATCGATATCTCGCGAACACATTGGAGCCTTTTTTCCGCTTAATGGCTTCTCAAATACGCTCTGTATTAAATTAAGGTAAATAAGTAAGTAAGATATTTCAAGCCTTATGTTGATATTCAATGTGTCTCGTACCAGCCGGCGATCGCTTCCTGTTTTAACTGTGTTGATCACAGAGACATCATTGAATATATGCTTTTTCGTCGACATGATAAAGTCAATCTCATTTTTTACTTTACCGACCGGACTCATCCAGGTCCATTTTCGAGTTGGAGATTTCTTGAAAAAGGTGCACAACATATAGAGGTATTCCTTTTTCATGAAATCAACCAACATGCGGCCTCTGGCGTTCCGTTGTTCAACTCCAAATTTCCCAACTTTGCATTGAGGTCACATCACAACCGTGTTGGGTTTTGTAGCTATGCATGGCTTTGGAGATTTCCTCATACATAGCCTCCACTTCGTCATCTGGGTGTGTCGAGGTCGGAGCATATACCTGAATGACATTCAACGAATATCGTTTTGATATTCTGAGTATCAGGTATGCCACTCTGGTCGACACACTTCCGATGGAAATCATGTTGTTAACAAAGGACTTGTGGACGATAAACCCGACACCCCCGAGGGACTGTTGATCGCCCTCCCGGTAGTACAGTAAGTTGCCGGAGTTAAGGATTATCGAGTCCTCCCCCTCTCTTCGGACTTCAGGTAGCCCGATGATATCCCAGCGTAGTTTACTGATAGCTTCTTCCAATTCTACGAGATTTTTTTTCTCGTTTGCCCAGTTGAAAATAAAATAAGCTTTTGCCTCTGGTTTAGTAGAGATTTTTTATTTTCTCTATTCCCACTACTTCAGTTGTCCATCCTGTCTCTACATTAGTTCTGTTGTCCAGTCCCAGTTAGTTGATTGAACTATAAATAATTTCTATCTTGTTTGCACAGTTGAAAATATAACACGCTTTTTTTTTTACTGAACTCAGTCTCAATTTTTAATTATTTTTAACCATGTTGGTGGGACCACAAAAACAGCAAATTACTCTTCGCGTCCCACACGGAAAATAGGCGCTTTGTCGTCGAGTTGCGGATACCAGCCCGTTGCACCAAGTACCAAGTGCTCTTCGCGTCACCAATTAGTCACTACGATGGTACTACGAATCTGGTAGGGTATCAACCACATAGGTTAATGAAGAAATGAGGACCTTAATTTCATCAGTTCTGTCAACTGAAGAAATGGGGAAAATGAGTCTCGTTAGTTCAGTCAACTGAACTAGTGGGAATAGAGGGATGTGGTAACACCCTTAAACAGTAATAAGGTCACACACTGGCTACCTTTATTTCATTTGTTTGTTTTTTTTTAAAGCATTTGTAACGTAAAGAAAAAGTCTTCCATGAAGCAGAAAGGAATAAAAAGTTTAAACAACCAATAAATTTCGTCATTTTCATTAAGACGAGATTATCATACTGTTGAAATATATGGCTCCCAGACCCTTTGGTAGATAATACACCATATGAACAATGATAATAAATATTTCACGTGTTACATCCTTGTCTTTTTAGAACATGGGTAACGTCAAACGTTTAAAGAAAAAGAAGAACTTTCCAGTCAAGTCAAAAGTGCCAAAAGAATTAACAACATCTATATCACCAAATCCTGTTGCTGTCCCATTTGGCTGGACAAAAATTTGCAGACTATGTGAAGCGAAGGATGGACCTTTTCTTAACATTTTTGATGCAGATAAGACTGTGGCTAAGAAAATTTCCTATATATTGCCATTTGTGGTAAGTATCTCAAACTGTTTTCAAATTCAGTGGTATAAGCTTTCGTATCTTCTTCCAATTTTAAGTCTACAGAATGCCTTAGATTACAATGGATGTGAAGGGTAAACCTAAAACCTGCAACTGTAATGTGTCCTAAAGTTAAATGTGATTTACTACTTTATATTTAATAATTTGCCTTGCTGGAATCACAAAAATGCAATTGCGAACGTAATGCAAAATAAAACAATGTCTAATTAAAACATGACTAACAGTAGGTACATTATACATATACAGCCGGTAACACATAGAGCTGGGCCTTGAACAAGTCTATCTTCTTGCAATGGTTCTTATATTTTAAACACATATTACAGTAAACGTGCTATTGCCAGAATACACTCCTTTGTTAAGCATTTTAACTATGTTATTATGTATTGATTATTAACGATCATTTTTTCATTCAAGGGGAAAATTGTCGTGAAAATACTTTTATTACTTTCTTTAACGAAAGTTAACATAGACTTATGGGACCCAAATTGGTCCGGCCCTAAAGAGGCTAGGCGTAAACCTCTTTAGTGGAGACCTGTCCCTAACAGTTGGACAATAGTTTAGTTAGTAGTTTGATTTTATTTTGAATATCATTTTTTTGGATTTACATGAACACTTAGCTTTAATGTGGTGAAACATAGCTTATTATTTATAGACATTATTGATGAGCCAAAAAGAAATGGCCTTGTACTATCTTCATTTCTAATGTTCTTGTTTTGTTTATAGTATGGATACTTAGAAATAATACTGACAGCGAAAGTGAAGCAAGTCATTTTATTCATAGTTTGTGGGAAATAAGATGGAAATAAGCAATCTTTAGGTGTGAATTTTATAGAATAGTCTAACTTTGTTCTTTAAATATTCTTCTTATGGTAACCAAAATATTCCATAAAATGTAGTCAACACTAAAATTGCCTTGGTGACGTTATGTATTTTTCTTATATATTTAATTACTCATGTGATCTTGTTTATTTGATTTTGTATGTTGTTTTATATAATAATAATATTGCATTTGAGTGCAGTGCGAATGCTGTTGCGTATAATGCTCTAAGCGCATCAATGTCATTTATAATGTATATTAGCCCGTAGCTGGTATGAGCGGTATTTTAACTATGAATACATATTTTGTAATTATTATTTTAAATACTTTTGTGGTGTCCGGTTAGTAGTAACGATTGTAGTATTTTGTAATATGTATTTTGTTGTTGTAATTATTAAATAAATTAGGTCAAATATTTTGTATTTTATATTTTCTATACACCTCATGAAAGTATTTGTATTTCGAATTTTAAATAGATGTAAGAAGGTATTTCGTAATTGTTATATTTTAATTAAGAAATACCAGTCTTAAGATTCGAAATTAACAGTGTCTGCATAATGTGTACCTTACAATTTAGCAGGTTTATTTTTGCCCTGTAACTAATACGTCTCAGCCGTTCATAAGAGTATTGTAAAATGCTTGCGGCACTTTGCTTCGTGTAATGTTTTAAGTTAGTGGCTCAGATGTAAAATTGACGTGTTTTGTTACTTTCCAGATAGCAGAAAATGATGAACTCCCTCACAAAATCTGCTTCCGTTGTTCGGCTAAGATTGAAGAGCTAGATGAATTCATACAAAAGTGTATTAATACTCAGGCAAACCTTTCCAAAGCAATTGGGAAAAATGGTCCACTTTTCACTAAAACCAAATCTCGAATACTTTGGGAAGAGCAACTCAATAAATCAAATGTTACCAATGATGATATTTGTGATGCTGTTATTAAAAAAGCTATGGAAGGGATTAAATCTATAGACTTGACAGCAACATCTCATAAAGAACCCAGAAAGTTACGAAGTGATAACTTCAAAACGTCATTGGAAAGTATAACAGAAGCTGAAAATGAACTTGATGATACGGATCAGGTGTTGCCACAACCCACACCAAAGCCCACCACAACTGTGAATGATAAAAGTATCTTAGAAAGTTCACCTAGTGCCGTAAATAAACGTTACGTAAATAAACCTCTTTTAAAAGGGCTTGCATCAACAATAAACTTCCGAAAACCTAGTCTCTTTAAACCAGTTATAAACACAACAGAAGCAGTTTCCGTTCTTACTGTAAATAAAGTTATTAAAAAAGAAAAAGATGCTGAAGTTGAAAAAACTTTTTCATTAGGGACTACTGCGGATAGTACGGCTATTGTAAAATGTGCACCAGAGCCTGACCCCGCACCGTTCGATATAATGGATCATGTGATTACTTTAAAGGTTACTGGGGTTGGTACACTATTCCAGTGCCAACTCTGTAAAAGGAATTTCTTGAAAAAAGATGTTTTAGCTACTCATGGATGCACTACACAAAAACTTGATTTGAAAAATCGTTATATTCAACCAGCTCTACCTAAAGCACCAGTTGTTAAGTATATAAATACCAGAGAAAATAAGACAGAACCAGAAGAAAATAACACTAATCCAAATGTGGAAGCCAAAAAGTCTGAAATTAAACAATATAGACCTGGTCCAAAATCTAGAGTGGGACCAGCAAGCCTTCAGAATGTTATAAATGACTCCCCAACGGTTAACTCTAGTACAGTTGAGCGTCCTTCATCCAGCAAAGAAACCATAAAAAGGCCTTGTAGCATGGATGATATTCAAGAAACTCCTTCTAAGATAGTAAGATTACAACCTCGTATTGCAGAAACTACATCGAGTAATACTTCAAAACCATATCCAGTTGGCATTTTTCAAGCAGTACCTCATCATTCAAGAGTAACTTCAAATCCTGCTCCATTTTATGCTTCAGATGCCAAAAAACAATCTTGCACTGTTATTCAAACAGATAGTCCAGGCAAACTACTTATATCAACCAAGCCACGTGTTGATCTTGAGGTGGCTAGAAAACCAAACGCCAATCTTGAATCACGAAAAACTTCTATGGTACAGCCATTCAGAGTTACTTCAGAGAATGCAGCTCCAACTAAACCTCAACAATATTTTACTTTTATTAATGTAGATCCATTGGTGCAGCCATCATACGTTTTGCCTACAGGTGAGTAACCAGGGATATTTTATGCACGATAACTCGACAACTTTTATTGATGGTAGTACTGCCGCTGTTAGCTAAAAGGGCGCATATGACGCTTTCAAAAAATGAGTTACGTATACCGCCGTGATCAGTAAAAGAGGCGAATCTGCCACTGTTTTTATTTTTTGTTTAGGTGGATTAGGTATGAAGTTATCGTAAGAGAAAAGGGCGTAGGCTCACACTATGGTCGAACTATGTTAAATAATAATAATAGTTTTTTATTCAAGACAACAGATCCACTTGTTAGTTTTACGAAAACCTTATGTACTATATTAGTTTACAGTTCAATATTTGTAAATGTAATGAAATAAAATGCAATAAAAAATTGAAATAAAATATTACAAACTGAAAATGAAATGACTTAAAAAAATAATTGAAATAAAATAAAATACACTAAACATTCAACAACAAATTGAAGTAAAAAATAAATTAAAAAGCAGAAAATAAGATCAAAATTGCACTCCACATTTGATCTACGTTTTAATTTAATTTTAAAATTTAAGTGGGTTACCAACATATCAACATGCCTACAAAATGCTCAAGCATGGGCTCTGCTATTTTACAAGTAAATATTTTCAGAATGCTGTTGGAACTACTACGTGTTCCATGTAGCAAGGATGCTGTCTTCTTTCTCATCAGGGCATGAAAGTCATCAGTCCGCGCGTCTGTGAACGTGTCAGATGCACAAAATGACGCGGCAATCCCAAAAGCGCTCTGAAGCCCTAGATGTTTAAAGCCGAGAGACCCAGCACCCCAGCAGCACCATATCGTCTGCGAAACTCAAGCGGCTGACAGCTACGCTAGCTATCCAGCAGCCTACTGGTTTATTACTGAGATTCACGAGTAGCTCATTTACGTACAAGTTGAAGAGTTTCGGTGAGGTAATTCCCCCCTATTTCACCCCGCACTCCAACCTGTACGTGACAGAGTTTCGCCGCACTAACGTTATTGTCTTCATGGTAATACCAGAACCGCAACAACCTCAGAACTTCCTCCGGAATGCCGCTCTCTTCAGCTTTACCCATAGAAGGTCATAACTCACAAGATCGAATGCCTCGAAAGGTCCAGAAAGCATGCGTACAGTGGGTTCTCTCGGTAGAAAATTTACGCTGAAACCCAAATTGAGCAACATACAGGTTTATAAATTGATCCAAACTGGTGTCTAGCAGACTGTCCAACACCTTCGCTATCACCGTTGCCAATGAGATCGGTCTATATTTAACCACGTCCGAAATATCGCCTGTTTTATTCTTTACCAGTGGAACAACTATCGCTTGCATTGTTCCCGGAGAAGATAGGTGTATGATATAATTACTTGATGCGATTACATACGGTGACTTTTAGCAGCGACACAAACGCGCGTTTGCATCGCTACACTTGCAATGTATAGGCGGTTGCATCGATGCAAACGTGTGACTGCATCGACGCAGTCGCTTATGTTGAATCATTAAAAACGTGTTTGCATAGCGTTTGTGTTGCACTTGAAGTCGCGCGTGTAGGTAAATGTCTATATTATAGTGCGCGCGGAACTAGCTGGCCGCGCCTTAGGTATGTGAGCGGTGGGACGGGGAGGCGGGGGCACTTGATGTCATTACTCAGAATACTCAGTTCGGCGCCGGACTTCGCGGCGGCAACACACGTTGACAGTTCTGGCTAGTTTAGACAAAACGCACAAGAGATTGCAATGTCAAGATGAGTCCGCCGATAAAAAGACAATCTAAGGAAATAATATTTAAAGTGCATACGTTTTTTAAAAAACGGAAAGCCGATGTCAATAGTTTAGAATATAAAACTGATGCGAATATTCATAAATTAGTGGCAGAAGCAACCGGGATATCAGAACGAAGTGTAAGGAGAGTGATTGCTCAAAGTAAAACATCCTTGCAAAATACAGGGGAAGCAAAATTTAGTTCTCCACGAAGGCCAAAAGAGATAAAAAAGAAAATACAAGTTGATGATTTTGATTTAGGAGTGATAAGAAGAAAAATAAATCAGTTTTATACGGTACAGAAAACAAATCCAAGTCTACGAAAACTAAATGCTGTGTTAAAAGAGGATAATATTTTAGATTGCGGATTAACTTATTTAAGAGAACTTTTGCACAAACTGGGATATTCATTTAAAAAATGTAAATCGAAGAGATCCCTTTTATTAGAGAGACCAAACATTGTTGAATGGCGAGTGAAATATTTGAGGGCCATAAGAAAATTCAGAGAAGACAAACGAAATATATTCTTTTTGGACGAAACTTACGTTAACCAAAGTCATAATGTCCAAAAATGTTGGCAATCTTCGTCGGAGCCTGGTGTTTATGCAGATATAGGCAAAGTAAGGCGTTTAATAATAGTTCACGCTGGTAGTCGGAACGGGTTAGTTGACGATGCTCTGCTAATTTTTAAATCAGATTCAAAAACAGGAGACTATCATGGAGACATGAACTCTACAAATTTTTACAACTGGGTTGATCGAAAGTTAATACCTAAACTTCCACCTAACTCAGTCATAGTTATGGACAATGCAGCTTACCACTGTGTGCAAGTTGAGAAGAAACCGACTATGTCCTGTATGAAAATTAATATGCAGAATTGGTTGCAAAATCATAACGTGCCCTTTTCTCCCACGATGGTCAAAGCTGAACTCTTGGGCTTGATTAATACGACCCAATCAGAAAAAATATACACGATTGATGAACTTCTGAAAGGTGCAGGTCATACTGTTCTAAGACTACCTCCATATCATCCAGATCTCAACCCAATCGAGCTTGTGTGGGCAAATATAAAAAATTGCCTGGCCAGAGATCACATTAATGCTACATTGGACGAGAAAATTACAATACTAACAAGACTATTTTCTGAATTTTCTGCCGAACAATGGCAAAAATGCGACGACCACGTACAAAAAAACGAACAAGAATACTGGAATCATGATATGAGATATGATACTGTGATGGACGAATTCATTATAAACTTACAAGATGATTCTGACTCAAGTTCAGACAATTCAGAATCAAGTGATTCAGAGGATAATATGTCAGAGTAATTTCATATCTATAAATACAAAGTCGTGTTAGTTACACTAATTAATTAATAATAATTTCATAAATGATTCAAATATGTCGGAAGAATTTCATTTAATTTGTTTTTGGTTTATTTTACTTTTAATTGCAATGTACGGACAACAGCAAGTCCATCAATACATAAATGTCAAATTTATCCAATCAATTTTATACTCTATTCCCTGGACTTTAAGTTGAAAATCAATTGAGGAAATCTGACAGTTTGTGGCGGCCTGATGTGCTGCCGACTGTACATTGCAATTAATTAGATAGGTATAATATAAACTTGTAAAAGTTCAATTGGCTTTAATTTTTTCTTTTCAATAACTGAACAATTATTGTTCACGATATCTCGAGATTGGTCGTCACTGTCTAATCTCATGTGCGTTGCGAGCAGCAAGCAACCCGCCCCCTCACCCCTGTCCCTACCTAAGGCGCGGCCAGCTAGTTCCGCGCGCACTATAGCGACCGCATCCCGGCTGAATCGCTGGAGTCGCGTTGCTAAAAGTCGCGTGTCAAACCGCTCTTAATTAAATGAAAAGATGCAAGTCACGTTCAACTTTCTAAGTCTCCCTCAGTGTAATCTTTACGTGCATGTAGTTATTAAAAAAATGTTAATTTCCCATATGACGGTTATACAATGCTCACATAAATTTAAAATATAGTGCAATTGGAATCGTGAAAATGCTAAGTTACGACAATGAAAAACCACGCTAACGTTAACAATAGTGTTGTAATTAATTATGCCAAGTAGAAAAGGCATAATGGTTACGGGCTTCTTCTCTAGTACTGAATGTTTTATAAAAATTTTTTTACTGTGATGAATTTTACGGTGAAAAAGGGTAATAATTAAATAATTAAGCATAAATAAAGTTCCAAATTTTGCAAATAATACAAATTTATCTTAGTGCGTTTGCAGAAAGTGTCTACGTTTTTTCATTTGGAGACTGCAAATGTTTTTTCATTTGATTTCTTTAAACATTATTTTTAGGTCTTGAGTTTTTGTCGCAAGCACCCTTTCAACTAACGGCGAATAACCCAAATCATGTGGGATTAAATCTAATTATAAGAAAAAAATGTAATGACCACTATTGAATTGTGTCTAATTTATTACATATGCGCAACGAACTCTCAATCTCATAGTGCAACAAATTTTTGATAACTTAAGAACTCCGAGATTACAAGTTTTATCCAAAAAGATTTAGAGCGCATACATGGTGCATTAAAAAATAGTCTTAGTTTATTTTTCAAATGTCTAAATTTCTAATTAAAAAAACATCGTGCTGGTCGTTAACGATATTACGATCATTACATATTATGGTTAGTTCTACCATTATTATAAAGGTTGTTGAGAAAAATCTTCTGTACTTGCCATGCAATCCAAAATGAATTAATATATATGTACTATGCATGCTGACTTACATTTTATACCCTTTTGCTTACAGATAACTCTGCTCAGGACCATAATTCAAATGAGAGTGGCGACAAACCGAAAACCTACACATGTAATATGTGTAATGAGAAATTCACTAGAGAACAAAAGTTATTGGCTCACATTAAATCTCACTACAACAAAATGGATGAAAAACTGCAATCTAGTTGTGAAAGGGCTGGACCAGCTAGAAGGAAGAAGTCCTAAGATTCTAAAACGAGGTAGTAAAATTCTAAAATGAGGTAGTAATGTTCTAAATGTGGTGGTTGAACTGTCTCCGTGGCTGAACGGTTACCATGCTGCAATTCCCAGGCCGGAAGAAATATTTGTATGGCTTACATTTATTTCTCTCGTGAGCGTGGGTGTAATTTGTAGTTGTGTACCTATGTGTGTATCCTTGGCACCCGCGATACAGGGTTTCCCTAGAGCGGGGCTATGGTTGTGTGTGTTATTTACTTATTTTAAAGTATAATTAGAATTTTAGTAAATTTTGTACCATGAGAGTAACAGTTAAAACTTTAATTGTAAACATAATGCATTAATTTTTCAATGAGAATTATTGCTTTTCAGATAAAAGAATATGAAGATCTGCCACATATAGTTTGCTCCATGGCCAGACACTACTAATGGAGACACAAGACCCAACACTATTTTGTGAATATTTATTAAAATACGATGTCACATGTAACGTTATAAATGTCGTAGTAAAAAATTATACGTTATATTGTGTAGTTGACCAGAAGAATTAGTACACTCACTCACAAGTCAAAGTATCGTTTGCATAAGATATAACAAGGAATTTTTTTTAACTTTTGTGTCTATAGGTGTGGCCTGCTGTACCAATCTATTGCATATTGTAGGTCCCTGTTACTGTTTTTATTGGATGTAGGAGAACCAAACCTGGAAAAATTGTACAACACTGGTTAGTCATGTACATGTTTCGAGTTATTGCTGGGCTTGTTAAGTTGAAGAGACCAAAAAAGCAAGAAACAGAAAATTTATTACATAAGAAGTAAATTCAACCCTCTAAACTCTGTGACTGAAATTGCGCGGGAAATGAATCAATCGAACATTGCAATATTCTTCTTTGAGCTTATCGGTGGTGCCTTTTTTTTTAAGATTTCTTCAGCATTTGCGAGTGGGTTTCTAACAGGAGTCGAATAATTTTATTCAGTCGAACAATTTTCAGAAACTAGCTGCTGACATCCATAGCTTTAAGAACATTTGTGTCAAGATTTCCGTCAAAGAAACAGATAATTGCACGTAGCAAACCGACATATTTCCAGTTTGTTTGGCAGCCCGGTAGCAGTGATAGTGTCTTTCCGGTTTCGTGTTATCGTTTAAAACGCTAATTATTTCACAAAATGGCAATGCAAGCGAGCTATTTTTGGTACGCAGTTAGCCGCCATGTTTAAACAACCCGAAGATTTATTAATTACTAGTTTAAGGAGAGACGTCAAAATTGTACTGGTTCCCTTACACTGAATATATATATATATATATATATATATATATATATATATATATATAATTATGGTAATGCTAAGTAATTTAAAAACGGAGAGAATTGAAAACTCGCCTTGTAATTCCGGATTTAATTTGGGATTTATGAGGTGTGTTTTGCAATATCATAAGAATTAGTAGTAGTGTTTCATGTCGATTTGAGTATGTCATTAGTTTTAGGCAACAAAATATTGCATATTGTTATGTTTAATATAAGTAAAGCATTTATAATATCCGGTCGAAAACCTGGTCTATTACTTTTGTTTGTTAATTTTGGATTTTTTAAATTGTACATTCGTTATACTATTGCATATAATTAAGTACGTGAGATGCTAGAATGTAATTCCGGTCTTAGGTTAACGGCAATGTGTATAATTCAGGAATTGTGTAGAATACCTAGTCGTTCTATACAATATCGGGTACCTTTAGGCAATGTATAGAATAGTTAATATTTTTTAACTATTATACACATTTCCTGAGCAGCGTATAGAATACCTAGGTATTGTATAGAATGTCGGCCATGGATTTGGCAAAGTATTAAATAAAAGACAAAAAATCTAATTAGTAATTTCTGTTTCCAAACTGGTTCAACCTCCTCGTGTGGGTTTAGTTTAGGTTAATATAGGAAAAAGGTGCCACAGCCGAGTTTGTTTGCATTTTTGAGTTGAATCGAAAATTATTATGGAATCCGTTTTTTGAACAAAAGCTGATATTGAAAATAAACAGAAAAATCAATTTTCCTAAACGTTTATTGGGTGCTTGGGTCCCATAAAATTGAGTTTAAATTTTTATAGTAGTCCAAGAATTATTGGATTTATAGTTGTGTCTTTTTGAAGGCGGAGTAAAAGGACAATTGTAGGGTTGCCAATTTTCATAAAATATTAAATAATTATGTCGTCGATAGTTTTATCGATAGATTGTGAAAGAAGATAAAATTTTGTCCAAAATGTCTGAATTGTGAATGTTACGTTTGTAAAAATGAAAAACTTTAAAATATGTCTTCTCTTTGTATTTTTGATAAACATAGTTCTAAATACAGTATATGTATGTACTAATTTACAAAAATGGACAATTCAAATGAACTTTTCTCGGAAATTGGATGAATAATGGGTCGAGGATGATTGAAATGAAACAAGTTCGGCTATTTATTCCATAAGCGTAACCAATATTCAGTTGATAGTCGCTAGAATATTCATCGACTGCAATCACTAGCTGCTCGCAAGTAGGCAACACTTGCGCAATAAATTGTTACTTTACTCAGTCTTCAAAAAATACTGATCTAAAAATGATGATATAAATACTACTTTCAAATATGAGATAATCACTTAATATACAGTGTCGCTTAATGCACCAAACTTATAAGTTTGATTTGTATAGCGTGTTAAGTTTGATTTGAATAGCGTGCATATTTAGTATATCAGTTTTCGTTGCTACTATAATATTTTCTTCGAAACGTGAACTTGGACGTGCGTAAAATATTCTTCTTAACACACAAACTTTTCCTATTATCATATTGTTTTGTTCATCTATGCATTAATGCACGTTCGGCATTATGTATAAATAGGTAGGCCAAGTAAACAGTAGACTTTATTTTAGACTGACTGTTTTAGTCATCGTATAAAATACCTAGGTATTATATAGATTACAGGATTACATATATTGCCGATAACCTATACAAAGCACATGCTTAATTTGGAACCTTTGTTGTTGATTTTATAATGTACTTATTGGTTAATAATTATTTTTCTCAGTGTTGTGTTCATGCCATGGAAAACAGTTAATGAAAATGACTTTATTTAGCATTATGAACACAGGACACCTAAATATTTGTTATAAATGATACTTTCTGTCTAATGGTTGTCTTCCACCGGTGAGGCTTGACGAGACGAGGCGAGGCGAGAATAGAAATCTCGCCGGTTTATTTCCACCAAAAATTGCCATTAAATAACCCGCGTGAGGCATCGCGAGCTAGCGCGAGGCATCGCGAGCTAGTGCGAGCCATCGCTATCTACCGCTACCTCTCGCTGTGATTGTGGATAGTGATGATTCGGTGCTGTTCAGTTCATCTAGCGATAAATACGCGGCTGAACTAACAAGTCTCATAAATTAATATTGTTAAATATGTTAACGGAAAAAGAATCGGATGAAATTATCATCTTTTTTTAAATGTCAATCGTAGGTACCCCATAATCTCGCGATTGATATTAATAGCCATCGCGAGCACGCACTAGACCGTGCCGGCACTCGCGAAATCGCACGAGCACGCACGAATAATTGTGGTTCCCTTAAAGATTAGAATACTCTATGTAGGCAGCCATACTGTTTAATATTACATCACTCCCCTCCTCGTCAATCCAGATCATTTCCACCGAAGATTGGCTAGGAGAGAATTGAAATTTTGTCATATAAATTTCAATCCTCGACTCATTGGGCTCGCGTCCCCTCCCCTCGCCTCGCTTCGCCTCGCCTCGCCTCGCCTCGTCTCGCCTCGCCTCGCCTCGCCTCGCCTCGCCTCGCCTCGCCTCGCCTCGCCTCGCCTCGCCTCGCCACCTTAATTCAAACAGTTGGTGCCAATGATCTTATACACAAGACATGTTGCGTTCCTAGTAATCGACTATTGAAATCTGTCGTTCAACCTGTAGAAACTTCTTTTAAAAATTGGGCGTCATGTGCATTGATTGCTATGGTTAGATGATTATGACTTTGTGGAATAGAATGAACATTTCACAAAGTACAAAATATAATACAATGGAAAATGAGATAAAATTTATTTTGATATTAAACAAATGTGAAAAATATTTTTAAGTCATTTGACTTAAAAATATTTCAGGATCATCTACTTGGGAACAATGAACAAATATTTCTAAGGTAATAAATAGTTTTGTTTGTTGTGACGTGGCCACAAACATTTTTTAATTTTATAAATTTCAAGTGCGGTTCTTTGCTCGATGCAAACTTCTTTCATTCCATGAATCTACACCTGTTTTGTTTTAGTATTTTCACGACACGGGCGCCAGTAAACACATCTGTCATTTTTAAATATATAAGATCATTGGTCGGGTTTAAATGCTGATGGTTTGACAGTATTTGATTGTCCCCATGATGTGTCCTTAGTCCAAAATCTGAGCAGAGCTATGTTGCAGCAGTGGGAAAACGGTTGTTACTCATAGGACAACGGTGTGAATCTCTGTGATGTGCATGATGCACATGTGGCGTTAATTTCTAAGTAATGTACAATTGTGAATGTTTCATAATATTAATACCTCTCAGTCACACTGAATATAAACATCGTGACGAAACTTGCACATCAAAATTTCAGTCATAATCTGCGCTGAGCCAGCATGGAGGAGCCTGTTCAGCAGCGGGTCGTAAAATAGGATGTTGATGATTATTTACTGTTGAAACACCGCATATCTGCTCGGCTTTTGTAGATAACGGGTGTTAATATTGTGTATTGTAAATGCCAAGCCAGCCGATGCGCTGAAATATTTTCTTTTTGAAGTGATTATTGCAACCACATGTTTGGAACTTAGAAAATAAGTAAATATATGTTATTTAATTTTTTCTATTCAATATTTTTTCTTTAGCACCTAATGTTAAGTATCATGTAAGCCTGTCTATTCCATAATTGTATGAATATCCTTACATAATCATGATGTATGTAATGTGTTTTGATGGATTTTTGGCGTTCCATAGTGAAATGGTAAAAATGTATGAATAATAATTACTGGACTTTGTATTAATTTCATTAACACTATTATTTGAATTACGCTATTACACCTCACTTTTTTCAGTTTCGCATTTAAATGTGATTAAGCTGAACAAAATTGTTTAGGGCATGTAAACCAAGTGCTGGTCACCACCTGTCGTGAGTGACAATGAAACGGTAATAGTACTTACCGATCTTATCGTTATGTAGGATACACAAAAATACAATGTATTTGCATCCTGCATTTTCAACCGCACACTACAGTACCCGTTCGCATAGTGACTATTTAACACAGGGCGTCGCGGCCATACCATACGGAGGGAAAGTACCTTAAATACCGTAGGTAGAAAATTTGACTAAAAGAAGAATTCATTTTGATTTTAAAAACAATTCGAACGGCGTTCAAAGATTTTTAATAATCGCCTGTCTGTATCGGAAATCGAACCCGCCATATGAAAAAAACCTGTAATTTTTTACTATACTTATCGAAACCTTCAATCGTAAGGATTGTTTTCTTCTAAATAATATAGCATCTTAAATAATAGAAAAACTATGAAATGTAATTATAATAATTAGATACTACTTCAAGTTACAATCAATTTAAGGGTCGTATTCCAAAACTACTCAACGCTCAAGTCAGGACTTGAGTATGATTTCAAGCACTGGAAATACGAACCTAATGGCAAGGACTTGAGGATAATTTCTAGTACTTGAAATCATAGTTTTTTTTTCATTCTAGTGCTTGAATGTAAACAGAATGTAAAATGACAAACAAATTATAAAATTAGATGATCATAAATCGTTTATTTATTTTAATGAGATTCAACATTAATCAAACTGAAAAAAAAAAAAAAAAATTCTTGCCTTACAAAATTGAGTAATTTAATTATTTTGTTGCGCATTTGGTGACACTATGGTTAATGTAAGAAAAAATCAATGAGTAAATTAAGTTTTGATCTATATTTAATATTTGTAGTTGACGAGTGCCGAGTGGTAAGTTGTGGTCTGGAATTACCAACTGCTCGGCTTTGTTTATCAATAGCTGATTTCGTTTTTCTTCACACCGTGGACGGGTGTGAGAAAGGATCGCGAACTCAACACGCACCCACTGGTAATTTTACAAGGGTAGTATTTAACCGCTTACCAAAAAAGCAAGTTTTTCGCAATCAAATATGCCATTTCCCCAACAAAAGCACCGATAGCACATCAAAATATGTACATCAAAAGAAAATTAATTTAGCATTAAGTACTAAAATTAAAGCATAACATTTTATCGCAATGCATATCTAACATCTAATAAATACATAGGTATCTAATATTTCTGGCATACAAAAAACGTATGACCTCAAATTTATGACAAAAAACATCGGAATGAAACACCATTTTATATGACATTATGGTCTAATTGTACAAATTGTCCAAAACAATAAGATCAACAAAAAAAAAAATTGCACACAAACATTGCAACAAAGTCCAATATTATGAATTTCTCAAGAAAATCAGCTCCAAATATAATATTTGTTGTACGTGAGTCATTGTATAAACGAAGATAATTTATGGAGCAACTGTTGAGAAAAATTACGGTAATTTTGTTAAAAGAATTGTTATTTCGTTTAGAGTTAATTTAAATTGATGTGCAATCAATATTTTTGTTATGTAAACAATATTTTTGTAAATAAATGAACACTGTCGTTGTACACTGAGAGAAAATTAGCAGAGGTCTAGTTTTGATACATGTTTTTAAATTATTTTTTATACTAGTTTTGTTAGACAGTTGTTCTATTTGTAGTGCAATATTTTTTTAGATTTGCAAGTTATTTGAATAATGAACATAATTTTATATGTATTGAGTTTTCTGATATGCACTTAATTATTTCCCATTATACAATTCAGAACCAAGACGATCTGATAATAATTCTATTTAAGCTGTTTGTTAATAATGCGAGGCATGTGCGATGTTGAAAAACACATCGATATAGTTCATCACAGTGTTTCTAGCAATAACGATCAAACTAGCGATGCATCGATAAATGCAAGCAATCGATAGATTAAACAAAATCATAAAATGTTAGATTCCCCACATTTTCCCCACATAGCGCCAATCCCCACAAAATCTCCAATCTAGTTGAAATTCCCCGCGATTTGGGGAATTCCCCACAAATTGGCAACACTGGTTCTGGAATACGACCATAAGTTATCAAATGCTCAAAATTTCGCGGAAAATTTTGACAAAGTTTATTATGCTGTGTACAATATCGTTACAAAATTCGTTTATCTACACACATAAATCAAAACACACATCATAAACCCTATAAGGGCGCGTTCAAATTAGCCGCTGTTAGAAGCGCTGCAGCCGTGCGGCGGCCGCGCTGCAGCCGCGCGACTGTCGTGCTGCTGAAGTGCGACCATATTTTTAGTGATGTTTTATCTTTCGATTCAGTTACGCGATGGATTGCAAAAGCACATTGTAATATGATTGAATATGAAAGTAAACTGTAATATGAGTATTAAATAGCTACAAAACTCGATTTACGAATAATATTTGTAATTAGTTTTCGCCTTGTTTACGGGTTTTTATGGGATTTTTACGTTTGTTTAACACTATTCTTCACACTTATATTCAAAACCAAAAGATATGTAGTTAGGAGGGTAAGCGTTCTTGGGGCACACACTTTACATATAGGTGTTAAAAATAACTCACCTGCTATGTTTTTTTCAGTTCTAGTTTTAGTTTCAAAATTGTCAATGAGTTTTAGACATAAATTTTCCTATGCCCTTTTTTGTCCTGTCCATTGGAATAACTGGCGGAACTGCTATTCCTTATTGCAGGGTGTTGTTTTAAATTCTCTATAAATTCTTCAATTCGATTTTCATCGATCGTAATTAATTTAAAAAATTAACATGTACACCTCACTAACCGTGACTGCAGCGCGAATGTCGCGCGGCGGCCGCGCGATTGCAGCCCTTCTAGAAATTGTATGAAAAGTAATAGTCGCGCTGTTGCAGCGCGTCTAACAGCAACTAATTTGTACGCGCCCATTAAGATGTGTTCAAAAACCGCAAATTACGATCAGCATAAAGATAAATTGTTTTGTTACAACAAATTTCTTATCTGTGAAAATGTTATGATTGCTTATTATTAGGATCAAATTAGATTTTCTTATTACATTCAAATTTCGTACATATCTGAAAAACAACGATTTAATTCATCGAGTATATAACCAGAAGTAGAGACGAATCTAGTAGAGACTATTCTGCCATACCATTACTGTGACAACTGCGCTCCGATTGGCTAGCCCGAGTTCGAAACAATTGACGGGTGTCGTCAACTGTTACACTTCAAATCGACCAGTTAACTTGAGCTTTGCTATCAAAGAGAATTTAAGCACTACGTTTAATGGACGAAAATTGCAAAATTACATATTTAATATTAAATTACCGATGAAAAGTGATTCCGTTTGTTTTGTAATTAGATGTTTTGCTTTTTTCCCACACCACCGAATAGAACAGCACGGCATTGTTAGAGGTATTGTTTTTATTACAATAAATACAGAATATTTTTTGGAATATACGGAGACGTACACACAGGTCAATAGTTGGTCTGTCTACATTTCAGTGCAAACGGGAGTTCATATTTATAAGTGCTGTATCGCTAATGTGTTAACAGGAATATATGGCCCTTATTCCGTCTCTATTTCTGGTTATAGACTCGATGATTTGATTAGACCTCAATTCTAATATCAGTCGAGATGAAGTTATAACCGAAGTGAAAAGTCAATAGCAAACAATTACTTGATATCGAACGATATGATAGTTGGGGCCGACTCTAGTTAGTATATGAATTAAATTAAAACTACGGTTGTCTGACATGCGTGACAAAAGTTTTTATTTGCCGCCATTTCGCCAGTCGTAACATTCGGTTCCTGAACACATCAAGAGCTTATAATATGTGTATAGATAAAGTAGTGTATGTAACTGGACATAATTAGGCACTAAAACACTCGTTTGATGTTCTATCTGCCTTTCATTATGTAACAGTCACATAAACTACTATTCCATTCCGTTCCGTCGCAATATAAAAAATATCACTTACAAATTGTTTTTTAGGCTTGGCAGAAATTGCTTTTTTTAGGCTTCGGCAAGCTTTGCGACGATGAGTACGACTATACGGGTATGCGGGGCGAGGAGAGGCGGAGACCTGAAGAGAGGCCATGCGCGAGCACGATGTCGCGATGGACTGTTGCTGCATGCCTAAGGATGCTACGGCATGTTCTCTGATTATATTGTACACAACGGTGATAACTAAAATCTTGGAAACCATTCACTATAGTGATTTAGACCATTCTTTCTCATATTAATGGCAAATAGGCTTTATTGTAAAGGTGCGAGCGAGATCACTATTTGAAAATAATACTCTAGAAAAAAAATCAAACTACTACTACTATACAGGAGATACTATAAGCCATTCCTGACTGACTGATAGTGGGAAAATTATATTTTATATAATAAGAAAATAATCCGTAAAGGAAACACACGGTTGAAGATGAATATTTATTGACTTGTCATTAAGAACAATAAGCCATTTACATTAAGTTTAAAATACAGTATCGCTTAAAAGAGCTCAAGATAGTCTTCTGGATAGATAGACCTAATCGAAACATGTCTGACGCAAGTTAAACTTACAATTTGCCGTGAATCGTAAAACTTTATATACTACAATATTGGTAAAAGTACTTATTTAACTATATTGGGTACAACTATTTTGTCTAGGCTATGTAATAGCATAAAAGTTAGTAAGAGTGAAAATTGAGTCCTTCTACAGGTACACTTTGAGATTCCAAGGGTTGGCGATAGATTAGAAGTGTGCTGACTCATACAACTTCTGGCAAATACAGGCCCACTCCTTATCCAGTTTTGACAAATACACGCCCATTCCCTAAGTTTCAAATATATGCTTACCCCTAGCCGTACAATAATCGAGCCCCTTCCAAAGCCTTTTAGATCGTATAACTTTTGAATCGTGTAGGTACCCGATGTATCATCTTGACAAAATTAACACTTACGATGTCACGCCGTATTAGGTACTTATGTAAGTAATTCGTTGTATATTAGCCCGCATTTGACAAAAGTTTTATAATATACAAGGTTAATATCGATAGATAATATTTTGTAAAATAACTTCTTAAAAGTTTATTAATATATTTTAGAAATGAATATATTTTAATAACATGATCTTAATTCCTTTCAACTACGACTAAGATTATAATAATAATAATATAATAAGTAACATACATCGTAATCTATCTTTATTAATCACATGATTTTGATATGTTTTTGGGTCAAGTGCAGCACCGTTTAGCATGCCTTTAATTTTGATACATAATTTAAAATGTCAAAGATCCGACTAAAAGGGCCTATAAAATGTTTCATAAACACTACAATACCGATCATATTAAAATAGGTAATATTATAATTATAGGTTACAAACTATGATATGTATTATACCCTACAGCTATGGTTACCATAAATGTATCCATGGTCCTATTCTGGATTTTTCCAAAAGCCAGATATAAAGCGCATACATTCTTTTAACGATTTTATAATATTTTATTATATTCTACAATTTTTCAATATCGAACGAAATCAACCGACGTTTAGCTTTATATCTCGCTTAGAATGGACACAGACGTTAGTGGAGTCGCCTCTGACAAGAAGGGTAAAAATAAAAATACATTTACGAGAGTTAAAGTTACGGACGACATTTACCTATACGAAAGAGCAATCACACAGCACAAAATATTCGAAGTTACAATGGTTCGGGTTATCACGACGAATTGCGAAACGCCTTCGACTTTCGATAAGTGAGACAATATTAAATCACAGTCTTATGCTCTTTAGAATTATCCTTTTTAGTTCCGCACTTCGCGTGACAAGGACGCGAGTATCTTCCCCGACTTTTTAAAAGTATTCAATTTTAATATATAATCAGGAAACCAATAAAAGTAAGTACGTAATTAAAGTATACTCTTCAAAAATACGTAGTGATTGTCAGGAAATAGAAATTTGTGTTAAGAAGTGTGTCGTTAGTACGTATCAGGTTGAGTCTTTGTGGCCGGTTGTAGATGTCAATCTGATAACCAACAAGTTACTTCTCACGTCCATCCGGAAAAATAAATGCAAATCGCACCAATCACTCAAGGGAAGTTTAAATAATTAGGATAATTTGGGAAGTTTTACTTTCTCCTGTATTTAATGGAGTCGTAAGGAAGGTAACTGTAGAAGGAGGAGCTGATAGGTGCGAATTGGACGACGTGATAATAATCAGAGGCTGACTCCGGTGCTATTCAGTCGAGGAAACCAGTGTTGACCAACTTCTCCAGGAAAAACTTGACGTCTCCGAGCTCAGAGTCTTTGATGCCCAAGGACTTGAGCATTCCAAGATCGCCATTCTCGACCGCCATGAAGACAGAGCGGAGATGTTCCAGGTCAGACCTCATCAGGTGAAGAGCTGCGCCGAAATCTTCGATGGTTTGGGACTCTGGAATGAATGAAAAAAGAACATACCTAGTTAAACATTTGAAGAAGATTCTACAATAAAAAAACAAGCCTAGATAATTCGACGAGGAATCGGTTTTTTTTATAATATTGTTGTTATCTCTTACTGCTGTGAAGAGAGCCGAGACACGCGGGTGTGATGTTAGGTATGTATTCGTTTGGTAACATTTCATGTATTTAAATATTTAATCCCTAGGGTTGAACATTTTACAGAAATTGGTGTGGTTTCCTTTTGAGTTCGTGTAATTTTATATCTGTGTAATTTGATTTTTATGATACTAAGGGATGGGACGTACAAGTCTTACTCCTGATGGAAAACGACACGCCTGTCATAACAGTTGCAGTGCCACTCAGAGCTTTAAATAGCAAAGATCAGAGGTGCACTGCCTCTGCGCCCATCCTCCTGAGACATGTTGAAAAGTCCCATGTGCCTGTAATTTCTCCAGCACCCTTAATTAATAGGGGCTATGTTGAGTGTGTGCGTTGAGTGTGTGCGTTAATAGGAAAATAATTTTATAGGAAAGTAAGAGCTGCCCTACACATGGTTTCTGTGTATATCGTATTTAAAAAATTACATCAGATATCCATTAATATAATCTACAAAAAGAGTGGAACGCGCACGCCTAATTGTTTTCGTGAAACTGAAAGCAATCTTAGCTTGTAGTCGTACGAGACTGTACTTCTTAGTAACAATGCATCTGGAATGCACCTCATGTAACCGCACTTACCTGAAAGAGCAATAGCAACTTTCTCAACGCCACCCAGCGGCTCCAATGCATCTCTTGCTTTGCTTCCGAAGAGCTTCTCCAAATAGTTAGGGCCGTGAGAAGCCAGCAGTGACTGAAGGAAAGATGCAGTTTCTTCTACGGGGGGCCTTTTAGCTTGAATAAAAAATTCACTTATTAAAATAGGAACATAATATTAAAAAAATTAATACAGAATAAATACCAACTATTTATGAGACAAGAAAATTTGTGATTTGACGGTGACCTAATGTTATTTAGAGAAAAATTATAAATAGAGTTTCCGACTTGTCCGATAAGACAAAATAGTGATCAGGCTAACGACGGTACTTTTGAGTGTAGAAATTTTAATGAGATTAATGTTAAACCTGCAGTGCACAGCTTGGAGTCTTCATCGTAACCGTCGATACAATCCGGAGCGCCGTCACAGAGATATTGGATGGAGATGCAATTTCCATCCACCGGGCACTTGAACGGCTCATACGGGTGGCAATATTCTGTAATAAATTATGCAACATCGTTAACATATCATAATCGATGTTCCGTTTGATTAACACTTCGGATCAATAGTCCGGGAATAAATATCTATCAAATTTTATTACGTGTAACTACGCGAATCCTGTAAATTGTCATTAATAATAATAATAATAATAATAATAATAATACTTTATTTCAGAAAAAGTATCCATAATTTGTTAGTAAGACTTAGCAACTACGGTAGTAGGTATTTATTTCAATTACATTACATTTGAATTACATCACATAGTATGCAATTACTTAATTTAAATTACACCTATGACCCTTTGTATTAGATGCCATAGCAAGGGACTATCGAACCGGTTCACGAGTGTTATCCGTATGCTGTTCCGGCTACCACGCACACGGTGAAGAAAAGATGCGGCTTTCTTTCGCATTATAGCGGGAAAGCCGTCAGTGCGCGCCTCCGAACATTCCTGACGCGCTGCAGTGGCGTGGTGGCTACCACAACGGCATCCTGAGCGCATTGTTATACTGTATATACGCAGGGCGTTGTAAGCTCGTTTGGTGTACTGACACCACAGACTGCTGGAGTAAAACGACGTGCAATAAGCCTTAAACAGTGTTATTTTTATATTTTCTGTGCATCGAGCAAATCTGCGAATCAGCATTTTGCTCCTCACTGCCAACACCCTGCGCTGTGACCAAGGTATCTAAACCTGTCAACTACTCGCAACGCAGTACCACCCAACACAACCGGAGGCACATTTATCGAGTTATATTTTTTCGATTTGAAAAATAACAACTCACTCTTTTTAGAGTTGTACTTTAGGCCGTGCGCTGCTGCATACTTTGCACATGTGTCCACCAACTTTACAATCGAGGCAATAGAAGTACCCAGCAGCACCAAGTCATCAGCATAGCTTATGTTGTTGCAGGTTCCATCAATATGGCATCCGACATGCGTGTCACTAAGTTCCTCAATCAGTCGATTAATATAAAGGTTAAAAAGTCCTGGCGATGTCTATAAAGGCAAGCTCAAAAAAATTGTTTTGTTGAAAATAATATTAATTTAATAAAATATGGAGATGTTTTTATTTTATGCTTAGAGCATATTATTATGTAGTGCTTTCACACACTATACAAAATTATTTATTTAAAAATTGAATTGGTTACACCTAAAGACGGAAATTTCAGAACGTTTGCAAAAGTAACTTAGACTCGCGTAACACGTTAGCGGGTGTAAATACATAGTACTTCATAATCTGGGATAATGTCATCTCAATCTTTGGGTCTACCGATGTAATAGCAGTACTGGTGCCAACAACTTGTTTATTGAGCCTCCAAACTAAAAATGAAACAAAAGAAAGTTCTTTGTGTGGTATATTTATCTTAAGTACTACTGCTTGTTGTTATCTTATTAACATCGGGCATATAATACTCAATGTATATTCGAAATAAAGAAATCTATACTTAATAATCTCAGTACAGAGTACAAAAAAAACCGACCTCAGAAGTTTGTGGAATTACATCTATTTTAGTTTGACAAACCCCAGGTCCTTGCAAAAGAAGTTCGCTATCCAGGATGCTGCGAGAGGCCATTGAAATTAAAAAAACATTCTAATTTCAACAGGGAAGATGGTTTCTCCGTACCACTAGTTTGCGATCCAGTATCTCCTCTAATGAAAAATCCCAAACAGACATAAGACTGCAGTACTAATTAATATGTTTTAGTTTATTCTAATTCATATTAATAATTAATAAAAAATTGAACTTAATAAAAATTCATTTCATAAAATAATTTGTAAAACTTAATGTAGCGTAAATTGGAAAAAAATTAAAAATAAGGTATTTAATTGTAACTATAGTGAAAAAATAAGGTGGTTTGCATCAATATTAGACATAACTGGATGAAGACTGTACCACCTCAGTCAACCGTGACCATGGGACCTGTAAAGGGCCCGAAACGTCGGTTTGTTAAATATACGCGATTTAAATCCGGAAAAATAGTTTCATTTCCTATTACATCTATTGGCCAAGTTTTATATTTTACGGTTACTGGAAAGTGCGCGAAACTGGATTCACCCCTTAGAGATGGAATATTTTTTCAAATTTAAATGGGACCACTACTGATTTGGAATTTGATTTGATCGGCTCACAAAGTTATCGCGTAACAAACATACAAAAAAAGAAAGAAAAAAATACAGTCGAATTGAGAACCATCTCCTTTTTTTGAAGTCGGTTAAAAATGAGATAACGAAAAAGGACATTATTATCTGGAACAAAATTATTCCTAGAGCCTTTCATGCTACCTCAAACCATAAAGAATGCCGATAGCAGTGGGCTTCAAGATCCCAAAACCGATTCGAAAGGTTACTTTTAAGGTTTTAAGGTATTACCGGCCCAACCCTTCATTATATGCTCAAGGGACGTTGGGAATACGTGTTCATTGGACCCTAGTTTCGATTTTAAGAAAATGTTTTCACGGTCGAGGTTCCACTGGCGTTTAAAAGCTCGGCGTAGAATTTATGGAACAATCATTCTTCCCGGTTTTATTAACCTGGAACTCAGTGTTGATTCGATGTAGAGACTCTTCAAAGTAAATAACGTAACTTATATTTCTCGATTTTTCTTAACTGCTTTTAAAAATGTTCCGATGGTATGTTATGTCCATGTTGTGTCACATGCATATCAGGTATAATCGGGTGCTTACTTTGGATTTTAAGCTGGGATGGTTTAAACAGTTTTTAAAGCAAATAACAGAATACTCTACTTGATTCAAGATTTATTCAAGTACGTACAATGGTTTATGGGTAATAAATAATTAATGGATAGCTAGAATGTCTCAAGACAGGCGCGTTTTTTCATATTGTATAAGGTGAGCATTGCGCAATATGTACGGTAACAGTTTTACAGACAGAATACCGAACAGTGTAGTAAGAGAGCGTCGTAGTATGAAAGTTAATGTAGCGACTGGACAGTGAGGGGATGCTTCGATGGTGGATGTTGACGTTGACTAATGAATGTTAGTGGATCAAAGCGTCAAACATTCTGACAAGGGATGCGAGTCGGACACGTGTCGGGTCGGGACACGGCGGGTGTAATTCCATTACATTTATATGGACGACGACACATGACGAGCGGGCGCGAGACGGGCGCATGTCGGGTCCCGCACGGAATTGCGCCCGCCGTGTTCTCGACCCGACACGAACCCGACCCACATCCGTTGTCTATGTGTTTCATGCTTAACGGTACATATTTATAGACCGAATGTGTATGAAGGCATGGGACAGGTCCACGGCGCCGTACATATCTCAGTCAGATTGAGGATGTCCTTAAAAAAGGCCGGGTTAATAGTTCCAAGAATAAAAGGGCATATTATGTGAAGAGACTGATGGGAGTGGAGGAGGCGAAATAGTTTTGTCAGGAGCGTAGCAGCTGGAGGTCCATAGTTTCTACCTACCCCTGTGGGATTCAGGCGTGATGATATATAAAAATATACATTAACATAATATATACATTAACCAAATTGTTTGTTTATTAACTTTATTCCTCTTTTTTTTTTTTTCCTTTCTTTTTTTTTTTTCTCTTTCGTTTTTGTTTGTTTGTTGTCAAGTTTTGCAACGCCTGTTAATTGTTCTGTACTCAGCTCTCTGGTTAACTGGTAGAGAATGCCTAATGGCATTAAGTTCGCCATTTGTACTTTTTTGTATGCAATAAAGTTTAAATAAAAAAAAAAATAATAAAAAAATATATCTGCCGCCGTTAATTGCGCATGTGATAAAAAAATAATGTGAAGAGAAAATAAATTTAAAAAATGTTCATTTCACTTGCGGTAACTTCTTCATACCTTTTTTACTGACAACTGCAGTACACATAACAATTTTTTTGAAAAGTTGTCACATGTATGCGCTTTTTCAAGTAACGGCGGCAGACACGTGTATCAACATTTCAATGTGTTCTTTCGTTTATATACAAAATCATGCCTTAGTACACGAATTTAATGTTTGTTTTTTGCTGTCGTATATACCAGATCGTTTATTGTGGGTGTGCCCGTAGAGCCGGTTAAGGTCAAGCGCGTACGCGGTGAGTGGCAATGCGCAGGTCACAGCCGCGAGCGCGAGCACGCTCGCCGCCACACGGCACGACGACATCCCTGCAACATAACACAGCTTATTTTAGTCCATTGCTCATGACCAATGAGGTCCCTAATATTACCGATGACTACCATAGTTGCAATCTAATTACACTAGAACACTGTTTTACAACAACAAAAAATGTATTGATTACCTTTGTCACCGGAAAACTCACAGCAACACGCCAGGCAATGAGCTTATAATGTAGATATATCTGTATATTATATACCTATATAATATCTAATTGCAATATATCTATTTGTAAAAATGTTTAGTAGGGATTTGTATAATCTCTCTATTGGTCTGTCGCCATCTCTTTCTATAAAATATAGGTGAAGCCGTATCTTCCACCGAACTAATTAAAACTTTCCAACCCAGATTTGCAGCATATCTTGTGCCTTACAGCTTGATAAATTTCATGAACTAGGCGCTGGTTTTAGTCGCATTTATATGAGGTACTGGTTTTTATAGGGGGTTACCTATACGTATAGACAGATCCCACCATCAAATGTATAAAAAACGTTATTAAACTTAATTAGGTCCTATAGCCGGGCTACCTTGCTCCGCGCTACTATCGCCGGGCTACCTTGCTCCGCGCTCTTATCGCCGGGCCTACTCCGCGCCCAACCTACTCTGCGGTCTACCACACCCGGATTCTCCGCACATCTGGGGGCTGCCACCTCGGCGCACTGCGCTCCTGACTTCTCCGCGCACCTTCTACTACTTACGCGGAACCACTGAACGACCATCTCTGTTGTACCCAACCTTGAGCTTTATAAAACCCATGAAATATAAGTATAAAACCATCTGTGAGTTTCATTTATAGTCTATTGACTCGGGGTTCTAAACTCTGACATTTCAATGTTGGTAGATGAACACAATCAGCATCGTGAACGGTCAAACTGGTAAAAATATATATAAAGACTTTTAAGTGCTCAATCTGAACAAAACTATAGCATGAGTAGTAGTAGAGCTCCTTGTGAACGAGTTCGTCCAGAGAAGTACTGCTACCGTACCTATTTCTGCCGCCAAGCAGTAATGATCATATTACTACGTTCCGGTCTTGAACAGTGAAATTACAGGCACATGGGACTTAAGACGGGTGACTGCGGCGCCTGACGCCACAGGTGACTAAAGTTGCGAAGTCCTAGACTAGCATGCGACTTTTGGCCGCGCGGCGACCGGCCGCATGCGTCTGGTGACAAAAATCGAGCGTGCAAATGCTCAGTCACAGGCGATCGCATAGTGCTGAATGGTACAAGGTCTTCCTAAAGCCAGATCACATCTACTTAAAGAAATAGTCAACATACTTTAAATAAATAACCAATTCACTGTAATAAATAACCCGTGTACCCAAATGGGGCGGCGATTTAGCTTTGACAAGCGATCCGACAAATCGCACGGCTAAAATCGCCTCGTGTAAATCATCATCACACATCAGGATGACGAACGCATGGCATTGCCCCTCAGATATTAAAAAACTTAAAAGTCCGAGCGGCACTGCAACAGCAGGCGCACGATTGTTTGTCCCGTCGCTTGGTGTCGTAAAAAACACTCAGGAATTTGTATTGAATCTTTAGAAAGTCAAAATAAAGAACAGATGTTTGACAAGCTTGACAGCTTAAGTACTTCTTGTTTTATTGAGTAAACCAAGTTAAGTAGATACTCGTATAAACTTTTATGTACCTTTCACGTACAAAGATAACATTGCTTAATGAGTTCATAGGACTTGCTTTTGTTGACGACTTTGTCAAGTAGTCTAGAAGTTATTTCAGTCAAAGAAACTAATCGTATATAGCTTGATTCCAAGTCAATAGTTTTGAGAACAATTTATGATTTAAATAGAAGGGTACATTAAATTAGTTAAATACAGAAAAGAACTACTCAACGCTCGGATTACTTAATCGCATGATTGATATTTTTTACTTTCAGCTTAGGCTACATACATACCTAAGATGATTTAGACTTAAAAATGTTGATTTTTTCTTGCTGTACCTACACATTGTACAGCAGTTTATTCATGATATAGTTATAAAACACGATGTGGCAACAAAACACTCATTAAAACGGTGCTCGAGGCAGGGCGAAATTTCCACCGGGAAATTATTTTCAAGTACAACTATTTGGCAACCACCACTCGCCGTAACTCAAAAATTAAAACACAAACTGAAAGTTCAAATTTCAGTAATTACTGATTGGAACTAATACGTTTATATTCTCATTTATAAAGGGATGACTAATTATACTGTATAAATAAAAATAATTTCATTAGTCGTAATAAAATTCGTTACGATTTAAAAAAAAAATTTCGTATCGTGTTTTCTTAATTGCATTATTTTTGAGTTATGCCAGTATTTGGTCATTTGCGATTTATTGAGCGGATTGAGGGGTCTGTAAAATTCGTAACATGTTATTGTCAATTCTTACTTATTATAAAATGTTTAATAAGTTAATATAACATGATCTAGGATTCTGTAACATCAAGTTACAAATTACGAAACGCTCTCTTTTTGTTTTATAATATCAAGTGACGGGACGGACAAGTCGTGCGCCTGAAGGTATGCTACACGCCTGTCCATAGCAGTTGCAGAGCCACTCAGAGTTTTAAATCGCAAAGATCTGGGAGACACTGCCACTGCGCCCGTCACCCTGAGGCATAAGTTGTCACGTACCATGCGCCTGTAATTCTGGACATCATTATCTTTTTCACTTCTCATGCTCTTAAAGTTCGTATTTATTCTGGGTGTTGGCTGCATAAAATAGGATTTTATGCTTTAGTGCATAAAATAACAAAAAACCGTCACATTAAATGTGTCTAATTGTTGTAATTTTACATTAAATTTTAATTAAATAATCGTTTATTATAATATTGTAGTAATATTGCTGTTTACTTCCTCGCAATCGAAGTGAAGAGCAGAGTGTATAACTCGTTCATAAAAACCATTTTACCCTCGACTTAAGTATCCACTCATATACTTGTATCGGGTAATATGACGCATTTTATGCACTTGTTGTACAATCTGCTATATTATGTAATGTGTTTTTGTGACCATCGCGTACGTACTTGCTACGTTACACAATTCATATAAAGTTCATTATTCTATGTACTAAATGATGTAGGTACATTTTTTCGTGATACAAGTGATGGGACGAACAAACGTGCGCCTGACGATGACAGTTGCAGTGCCGCTCAGAGTTTTAAATCACAACGATCTGAGGGGTACTGCCCTACGCCCGGGCGCAAGTTGACATGTCCCATGTACCTATAATTTCACCAGCACCCTTATGACGGATTCACGAGTCTTTCACTTGCGTTTTTCCCTTCCTTGCTTGACTTGCTTCACGGATACGCAAAGATCTGTCGCGTACGCGCAGGCAGAACTGTTCACGAGGCTCGCTTGCGCCGGCCGCTTGCTTTGGGTTGGATTTCTTTGCGTTGCGTGAGTTTGATATTTAGCAAGCTTGATATTGTCACGCAAGCAACGGGGAACGTTTGCGGAGGACAACACCACTGGCCAATCACAGCAGCGGCCATGCGTCCAATACACCCAAAACAAAGGCGGAAAACTGATGGAAGACGGAAGATTTCTACGCCGTGTCGGTAGGTACCCAGCCAACGCAAGCAAGCGAAAAACGCATGTGAAAAACTCGTGAACCCAGCATTACTCTTCAAAACTGTTACGACAACTTCGTAACAACACTTATTATTTACATACTTTGCAGTAAGAATACATATAATATATACACTTATAATCTTTTCAGCAAAATACGTAAGTTGCCTGCGTAAAATATAGAAACATCAGGAGACTTTTGGATTAGATAGCTGAGGATTAAAAATAACTCTAGTTCGCCAATGGTGAATATTGTATTAGAAATAGGTACCTACGTAAGTATAAAAATTACATGTTAGGACAGTAGTCATGTTGACTATTATTTTTGCGATATATTTTATGAGTTTACTGGATACTTCATACGAAAAACAAATTTTAATTTCGCTTTATTTCGCAATATTGTGTTGGCCCACGGTAGTGGGTCTGTGGGTTGGCCAAAAAGTTTATATTAGTCAAATTTAGTCAATTATGTACTGGCCGTGTTAATCAACAATCTTTTGCCATTTCTCGATATTTTCCGGAATTCCCCTTTCATAAAAAATCTTGTCTTCACTTATAAAATGCAACTCTAAATGTTGTTTGATTTATGATACTCCTCTTCATTATCAAAGTCATGTCCATTCAAAAAGTTTTGTAAAGACCGAAACAAGTGAAAATCTGAAAGGTCAAATATCGGGTGAATATGGTGGATGTGGTACCAAATCACAAACCCATTGCAATAGTTTTTGATAGCTTTTTATAGATGTCTGTGATGATGAAAACACACGACACCTTTACTATTCTTCAGTTTTGGGTGTTTTTCATGAATTCAAAACTTTTCCGCCTGTTTTTAAAATACGCGCTTAAATTTTATTTTCAAAATCTACATAGATATACAATATAAAAATTAAAAAAAAAATCTTTTTTTTAATGTTTCCTAGTGGCAATAATCCTTTATATAAGTACATATTAATACACACCTGTCTAAAAATACTTTTGTCTGTATTCATACTGAAGGTAACTAAATATTTAACTTGTGGGTAAGTAAAGACAGAGTACATCGTACCCCGACGCATTTAGAATGTAACGACGCGTTAGCATTAGCCCGACATCCGAGTTTACAGGTCACCTCCCGAGGGACCCCACCACTAGAGATAATTGTTGCAACTGAATTGGAACGTTTTTTTTCTAAATTAGGACTCATAATGAAAAGTTGGACTTACAATATATGTATATACACAGTACATGTATACAGTGTGAATTGATTGGAAAGAATAATTAGATACAGTGCCTACAAATTTGCTCGATTTTTTGACGATCGTCACGTATGATCAAAGAACATAAGTAAATTTGTAAGTAACAGACGATTTACCTGGGATTTTTTGTCGATCAACATTTGTGATCAGACAAAGTCGAGTATGTACAGGAAA